TTCGTAAAGTTGTATCATAAGATACAACTGTTTGTTTTTTTCTCTTCATTCCGCAGATAGCTCATATAGAAATCCGTATTAAAGTACCTGTATTAAATGTGTTTTTGTATTCTTAAATATTAGTCATAGGTACAATAATTATTTATTTTTCAATAGTTTGAGCCACTGTTTATGGTTTGTATTCATTAATTTCGAAATTTCAGTTATACCTTTTAATCGTGATTTCCCAACACATTCGGCATGGTGCACGGTAACTGGTAAGGTTCATTATTTTACATTTGTTACATTCAGATGTCTTTGATATCTATGGTGAATGACACGTTATTTTACCGGGGCCGAATTTGCAACTGACCTAATCATCAACTACTTTTGCCTGGAGGCCGAGCTCACAATAATAAAGGTAACCTACCTGGCCAAGTGGCCAAGTAACACAATTTGTGATAAATATGCATACTCATAAATTATCATATTATGTTATTATTATAAGAGTTTATACATACAAAGAATCAAGATAAAACATTAAGTACGTCTTTATTAAATCACTTAATATTTAATGCCAAATTTATATATGAATAGGTATACTGCTGTGTTGTACTTGCAGTTGTCTTACAGCCCCACCTTCTACCGCAGTTTAAAATTAGTTCAGAATTTAGGGTCACCTACACCTGCTGTCGATCTCATAATAATTATTAATTAATATTATATTGAAATTGTAACATAATTTGGTTTCGACCGATCAATCTTCGCACTGTGATACTTGTAAGACGCTCACCGTTTATATTAAAATCATAATAGTATTCACTATATATCGTTTGAACGTTTAAACAGTTTCACATTATATTGTATAAATTGGTATAAATACGATTTTGTTCATTTAGTATTCAAAGTTCTTCGAAGAGCAGAATATGATGGTTGTTTACACAAACAACGTAGGTTCTTTAAATATAGTCATATAATTATTTTGTTGTCTTGATAAATTATATCATTTGTCTACTTATAACACAACAAAAATAATAAATAAGCAACATAATCAATACAAATCGTGTTAAATTCTATGAACAAATATATTTGATTTGTAATATGTATAAAATATTATATTATGATGTGCTATTTATTTATTTCACTAGAAATGTTTCGATCATAGACGAATAATTCATAGACGATTCATTTGGTGTCTATTACTTATTATACAAAACCAATGTTTCGTATCTATTGATGATAATAGTAGGATGATTGATGATTCCATAGAATTAACATAGTACCAAGAGTTGAATTATATTAAAGTCTATTTTGAAAACACGTGATTTAAAAATAATTTTTAGTTCAACACAATATATTAAGAGAATATCAGCTCACTATTTATTTTTTCTCCCACCGACATATCAAATTTATGTTTAGTAGAACCAATCCTGTGTTATTACTTTAAATATTAAAATTAACCTATCATAAAACTTTAATTTAAGAACATTACCTGTGTCCCTACGTTGGCTATTTTATGATGTTTTAATTTTAATGTAATACTGACATTTTAAGTTATGAACGTGTACGTTATTAAAATTTAAAAAATATAATAAATTATATTATAAATTGAAAAAAATAAAACTTCGTAAAAAAGTTAACATAGGGACACAGACAATGTTCTTTGCTTAAAGTTTGGTAATAGGTGAATTCACTTTGATATTAAAAGTGGCAATAAAGGGTCGGTTTTGCCAAACATAAATACTCTATGTTTCGGGTAGGTCAGAGAAGAAAATAAAGATATGCTGACATCCTTTTTAACATTAAATTATTTCAGATTATAACTTTTATAAAAAAAATTAACTAATTGTATTCACTGGACAGGCAGTATTGCAGTGCTGCAATCGTGTTTGTAGGTCTAATTTACTTCGAATATTGAATGTTTATAGTAAAAACTAATCGTAATAACATTATATAATTTTTTTATTCGATTTTATATCAAATGAATGCATTTTAATTGTAACCTATTTTACAATGTATTATTCTATAATGTTGTAAGTACTACATCGTGTATAAACTTACTAGTATAATTCTATAATACACCTGCAGCTGCATACGCAGAACATTATAAGCACAATTTTAATACAATAATAAATTGCAGCTGTTTTTCGGTTTTATATTTTTATTTTTAAAAACACACGGAGTTAACGCTCGTCGCTTGAAAGCCGTACGGAGTAAAATTACCACTCTCACTGACGCATGAAGCAAACTGTGTGGTGATTCATAATATTATGAGTTCGTAGCATCAGATAGATACACGATTATCGAACAGCATTGAATTAGGTATAATATATTATTTAACACGAAAAAAAAATAATAAGACAAACGTGACGACACGCTAACAATCCTGACGGGTGGTCGTATTATAGGTAATATTATTTTCGTCACTGTACACGTCGTGTAATAATATGATAATAATAACGACGACTTTAATATAAATTTTACGACTCGACGTGTCATCGGTTCGCAATAATTGTGTTATAACATCAACACCTTCAGAATTTGACGACTCCGGTTCCTAAATATCGCCGATCATGCGGCCTCCCGAGTCCTTGCGGCAGTAAGCGATTATAATATTGTGACTGGCGTCGAGATCAGAAGGTGCCAGCACCAAGATCTCCAAAATTTAAAGGTCCTTATTGATAACATAACAACAACAATAACATCAACAGCGACGACGACGGTGACGACAATAATAATAATAATAATAATAATAATAATAATAATAACAAACTAAAAAAAAAAACCAACACGTATAAAATAACGTTTCTCCACTACGGCGGCGTTTCGACCATACTGCTGTTTGCCGGGATAATATTATTATATGTCTGCCTTGGATGAGGCGGCTTTCACTCCATATAAAGAACAAATCGGTGCGAACGGCTAAGCGCAAGTGGTGCTCAGAAATACGCGTACTGTCCGAATATTGTTTGCTAATTTCACACGCGTCGTTCATATTTTATATTTCACGTGTTAGTGTCTATACGAATATAATAATATCACCTATAGGTACTTTCGGTAATATAATAATACAATTTATTATAATGCCGCCATACGGTTTTTATTACGTAAACAATTCAAATCCATTGCTTCCCTCGAACGACGACTTCGCGCTCAACAATTATCGTAATAATAAAAATGATTGTTTCGCTCTGGTCGTTAAGTCTATAACATTTTCGAACGTTTTTCTCGGAGGAATTTTCGATCAATGTTCTCCGAGCGCGTTTACTGCACACGCACACGTTCATTCCAGTTCTTATCGCTTTGGTCGTGTACCGTTAGAACGGATTGTTTCTCTCTCTCTCTCTCTCTCTCTCTCTCTCTCGACAATTAACTGCAGGACACCTGACTCATATAGTCCTAAAGTTTTTTTCCTTAGAATACAACTACGTACGCAGTGACGTGATAAAATTCTAAAAAAAATAGAGGAAAAACACTATAGGTAATAATAATTATTGCCGTGGATGTATTGTCAGCTAGCAGCTGTGGGAAGGAAATTATTCATAATTATAGTTTCGCGTGTAATTTATTATATAATAATTAGTATTATTAAACTTTTATTATACAATTAATATTATTGCATCGTCGCGTGGACAATAAGGACAATCGCGTAGTTAATAGATAATAATATTTAAAGTGTGACGATATTGTGTGTGTGCGCGCGCGCGATATTATTGTATGTATATTATTATATTTTATTATACACAATATCATGTCCATATTGGCGGACAAGACGTCCTCTTCTCCGATAAAACGCACACGAGTACACGACACACGGCCCACTCGTTTTTCGTAACCGCCATCGAGGATATTTCTATATTATTATTATATCATCATTGTAATAATTGTATGATATATCGATTTGCGGTTTTTCTACGTAGTAGAGTGTCTTCTGTATTCCGTATGTGTAGGTACCTACCGAGTCTACAGCTACCTGTTGGCTATTCTACTGTTATCGATCGAGGAAATAAAGTTAATATTTAAGGGCAGCTCTCAATATAATTAATATATTATTATTATTTTTATATTATTTTTATTATTGTTCAAAATACAGTTTAACATTTACAATTTGTAATATGTATAGGAACAATGTACATAGTAATACATTGATACAATAAACACACCATTGGCTGACATACATAATTAATAATACATCAATATAAATGTTACTATGTTCGGCGACACATTGTTTGTATGTTTTTATACTTTGATAATAAACGAATGCTAAAAAATTCCTTTTCCTAAAATATTTGCAGCTCCTAACCAGTAACCGTGGTATCTGCTGATAATGGTATTTGGTATATGGCTAATAAGCAATAACCTAATAGTACATAATGTCAGTGTGGAATTTTCATCATGACACGCTGTCGTATTATATTATGCTATACTATTACTTATCTTATCAATTTTAGTTGTTCTACAAAGTAAAGATGAAAAATAAATATATTCAATTCATACCTTACTGGATATTATTTATTATCTAACATGCAGACTACAGGTATAAACTCGAAATCACCTATTATAGTAATTATCATACTTACGAGTTACGATCAAATAAATTAATACAATATTATATTATATTTTAATTAACTGTAACGAGATATTTTTTAAAAAAAACTCATAATATTCTTCAGTTAGATGTTCGTCAGTAGCAGTGATGATAATAAAAAAATAAAAATTGACTTCGTTCAATATTAATAGTGAGTTACGATTAACCTTCTTAAAATAATAATAATAATAATATAGTATACCAGTATGGCAGTAAGCCGAGTACGATACAACTATACAAGTCAGTGCGCGAACGCTCATACGGCCACAGTCACGCGTGGACCTCGGGCCTGGTCGGATCGTAGTCGTGATTAATTCTACTAAATTATACCTTTAGCCACAATTTTTTATTTTTGCTTTAGTGGATTATATTGTAATATATTGTACGATCTAACTTGCGTTAATCTTGTGTGATTTCAATTTTTTTCTCACAGCCGGAATATTATCGTGACAATTCGGAGTTTTTGTGCGTATCTAACGGAAATCGTTATCAGCTGAAAATTCCTCACGCCAAACTAACACACACGGGGACGTACACGCTACTGGCCGCCAATCCGCATGGACAGATCAAAGCGTTAATATCTCTCCAAGTCTACTCGACAGGTCAGTCGTAGCTATACTCATATTATAATACCTATTATTTACATTGAACACACGCACAAATCCGATATTATTATTATTGTATTGTACTCATGACGTAACCGATTTGAAATTAGTAAAACAATCTTGACGTCGTAGCCACGACCCTGCCATGATGGTGATCAGAAAATATTATATTTGTGTGTGGCTATTATACGTCACGAGTGGTTCGACGAGAATACTTAAATTTCAGATAATATTATATAATACGTCAAAGCAAATTAACGGAAGCGAATCGTCGCATATTGTCCCTCATTAAATTCTACGTACGCACTCCGTTTCTATCGCGAAACTTCAGTGTCACCAAACGATTAATATTAATTATTATTTTTAAATATTTTCTCCAGGACACTGCAAGAAAAAAATGGAAAATGGGACCAACTACGCGTAAGTTTCATTGCGTAGAATTATACTGTCTATTATATTATCATTGTAGTATCGAATTATTGATTGTTCTAAATCACGAACTGTTAGAATAAACAACTATATAACCCATAAAACCTACTATTATGTCTGTGTGTTTAGAACGGTGGAAAGGTTACCGAGAATAAGTCGAGGGTTGGTCGACATCGAGTGCCGGGAAAACGACAGCGTTTCGTTCGAATGCAAGTTGAACATCACGCAAGAGACGGACATTAGATGGCAAAAAGACGGCAAAGTATGTACCTATATACATAACCCAAACCTTGCTTGCGCTACGCTATTGGAACGATTCAATACCAAACATTTTATGTTATTATGAGCGTGTGCTTAGAACACACCTAAATACAATTTTAATTACGGTCTATTTGTTTTTCGGCCAATCCCTCGTGCCCGTCACCTGCCAGTTGGTGAGATTAGGCAAACAGATTAAGTCTCAGCTGGTCGACGGCGATACGGCTCGTCTTGACATATCCACTGCGAGTCCGCTGCACGAAGGACTATACACGTGCACAGCTTTCAACGAACTGGGCCAAGACTCGACGTCGGCGCGACTGATACTGCTGACGGGTGAGTTAGTCAAATGAAAACGGCATAACTTTTAACAAGAATTGGTATACGTACTTCAATATGATATGTGACATTAAAATTTTTTAGATTCACAAGATACCGCCACGGCAACCCAGTCGAACGGACAGCGAAATACTATGCTTAATTCACCAATATTAGCGGGTGAGAAAAATTGTAAATTAATACAAGACTACATAATATCCTGTATGGATGAAAAAAAAGTTTTAAAAATGTATATGAATACAATTAAATATATTTCTAAGTTTCTGAGTTTTGTTGTATAGTAAACTTGGTGACATATTAATGTTTTACATTCTATGATAGTTGAGAACCAATAGTAATATTTTAAGTCGAAGTATTACCCATCACGCATTTAAATTGTGTAAAAAGCGCACTTGAAATATTCAAAGTTTCGATACTCGCTGTAAACTGAAAATACTTGCAGGCGAGACGAACGACCGGTCTACCAAACGGTTGAAGCGAAGCAGCGCGCCGAAATTTTACGCCGTACTACACGACCGAATCGCCGACGTCGGCGAAACGGTTAGGTTCCTTTGCAGCGTGTCCGGGCACCCGCCGCCGTGGTCATCGTGGGAAAAAGATGGCCAGCCCATCGGCGTCAACAGCAGGATGAGAATTCGCGAGGACGACGACCACAGGTCGCTGGAGATATGCGACGTCATCCCCGACGATGCAGGTCTCTACCGAATCACCGTCGAGAACAAATTTGGAAAAATCCAAGCCACTGCTCGGCTCGAAGTGTTGAGTGAGTGCATTCAAAGTTTAAAATCGTTTCGGATATATATATATATATATATATATATATATAAACATATTATTATATTAATAACGACCAGCGACGTAATTATAGAGACCGTATAATGTAGATCCAGATTTGGCAGTGTACATTGTGTTGAATAGTTTTAAAATATACACAACGTTTTTCGTATTTTTAGAATTTTTTCAAATCACTGATAAAATATCTTGAGCATGTAGTCGCTCAGTGAAGTACGATCAATGGTCGTGCACGATAATTTATACTCGGCATATCGACACGTAAATTATTTAAAATTTAAAAATATCCAGCGTCGTCGAGTCGTTGAGCGTGACTAATATTATTTGATAAAAGTACCGCTGAGATACTTTGACCTTATTTTCATACGCAATCTACCTATACAAATAGGAGATATATATGTGTAACAACGACTAGACATCGTTTTGATCTCCTGTGGTTTTTAATTTTTATAATAATATAATAATCATGTTACGTCCGTATTTTTTCGTCATTTTTATTATGGGATCGGAAATAATCATTAATTTTGAATGTTGCAACAGCACACAATCAAACCACAAACGACGTCCAAATCACTTCGTCGTCTAACGGCAGGAGACAGTCCGGGTCGGCTGCTTGTGCGGGTGAAAATTTTACTCTCAGCTGTGACATAAGGGGAAACTCCATGTCTGACGTTACCTGGTACAAGTGAGTGCCTATTATACTATTATTACATAATACAGCTATTATTCCACCATGACCCAGAAACGTATTACAATACAATGTAAATTGGAGATGTGTAACAGATTATCTAAGTCACAGTACCCCCGTGAGTCGAATGGCCGTGTCTCGGTTCGTACCCCTTTAGTATGTTCACAATAATTATTGGGCTGAAGTTAACACTATGTTTGTTCAAGCTAATATTTTATAGACATCGCTCATTTTGCTGGGTGAATGCACGTGATGAGCAGAATCGCAACTTTGATATTTATATTATGAATCACACTTTCTTGACGATCGCACACAGTGCACCACCGAACTCTTCCCACTTTTCTCAAAAATATATAACCTCATGATGTGTCCTGTGTAGGGATGACGAGAAAATCGAGTCTGACGGCAGGGTGACTTCGTCCCTGGACGATCTGGCGGCCAGACTTTCGATATCGAACTTGGAGTCGATGGACACGGGTGTGTACACGTGTGTGGCGAGGTGCGAGTCCGGCGTCACCAGGTGCTCGACGGAATTGTGTGTGTTCGATACGAAACCGGCCACCGACTCGTATTTACAACCTCCGATATTCGTCGAGGGTCTTGTTCCTAAGCGCACAGCTGACGAAGGAGAACCGGTCCAGTTGACCGTAAGACTCCAAGGTGAGACTACACTACTTTATAATAATACAGTACCTTAAATCATGGATATAACGTGTATTGACGATTTTTGCTTTTACATTTTCAGGTGCAGTTCCTATGAGCGCCTCGTGGTTCAAAAACGACGTGCTCGTTCCCGACTGCGCGGACTTTGAGTACGTGGTGGCCGACGACCGTGGCGAATTCGGCCTGTCGATCATTGATCCTTTTGTTAAGGACAGCGGCACTTACAGTTGCAAAGTGGCCAACACGTTTGGTCAGGCCGTGTCTAGTGGACAACTCATTATAAACGGTTTGTACGAATTTCACGTTAAAAACATCATTACATAGCTGTAGTATTAATGAAAAATTATAATACAGTATAATATGTACATCAACATTAGAGTCAGTAGCTGTATTTTTTCTACAGCTTCTGACTTTCTCATTAATTTAAGTACTGTATATTAATGTCTTGCTGTTATTGTCATTATCGTATAGAAATGTCGAGCGAACATCAGGAGCCATTGGTCGTTGAACTGAACAACAATCTGCAAGAAGTTGGAGAAAAGGCCGCGTTCAATTCCACGGCTACCGCCAGAACCACACTTCCGGCATCCATACTCAGTGGGCCATGTGATACGACCGTCTTGCGTGGAGCCAAAGTTGTCTTGAAGACGTCGTACCAGGGCGATCCGGAACCATGTGTCCAGTGGCTCAGAGGGGTGAGTCCGTTAATAATAAATTATGAAATCCATAGGGATGAAATATTTTAGTAAAATATTGTTATTGATATCCATATCGGTTAAGAATAATAATATATATATATATATTATATTCTAAACGTAAGAAAAACATTGTTATAATAAAAATAAAATAAAAATCTTTCATTTATGGATCTGTATTTCCATTGGATAAAGTGTACCTAATTCTTATTATTAATTAAAATTTGTTTGCATTTTTAACTATAAAAAAAGTACACACATATAATATCGATACGAGTTTTTTTCTTTTATTCGATATCAACGGCACTGTGAATCTATTTCAAACAAATATATATATTGATGAATAAAACAATAGACCTTTGAAGAAAAAGCTATGGTTCACATTCTATTATATTGTAATAGTAGTAAATAAAATCCAACAGAATATCTAACCTTGAACTGTCACAATATTTCGTTTATAGGGCAAAGTTTTGGAGTCCAACACGCATCTGTGCATAACCAACGAGCGCGGCGTATCCAGTCTGACGATCGACTCGATCACAGCCGACGATTGTGGCAAGTACGTCGTCCGCGTTGATAACGGACACGGCAACGATTTCCACTTCGCCTCGGTCGCCGTCGAAGGTACAATGACATAATATTATTATTAATTATCGACCATAATTATTAAAAAACAATCGACCGACGTCGTAGTCTTCAGTATAAGTGTAGAAGTCCTATGATACGCAAGTCGGGAGCATCGGAAGGGGAACAGATGATATTATATTTGATACGGAGCTTCTTTTTTTTTTAAATATTCGTATTTGTAACAATTTTATTTTCACCAAAAATATGAGGACATTCCACATAATGCCCGATGTCTGCTTGATTTGCTTATAATAAATCGAGAACTTTAAATGTATAATGTGACGTGTCTGAAAAACTAACCTGCAACGTAGAAGGGAAATAGTATAATATTATGTATAAAATTAGGGATTTCAGTATTTTTCTTACTATACATGATCCACCTTTGGAATAGTATAATTATTATTCACGCACGCCGCGACAACACAACTCGATTATTATTGTTTTCTTCGACATAATATTATATTCCGTGGTATACTGATAATACAACACTGGTTCGCTCATAATACGCACCTACCTACTTGTACAATAATAGTATACAAATGTTCTACGATATTATTATCTCGAGGTTTACACCAAACCACTCGAATGGCACAATGATATTATAATAATATATTAATAATTATCGCTAAATGAATCGATGGCGTCGTATGTGGTCTTATATTATGTATTATCAGTACAAGCAGTGTGTTCTGTTAACCGAAATGACGATACGCGCAAACGCTACGAAATATTCATAAGCCAACGTATATCGTAATAGCGGACGGCACACTCGTATTTTCATTATTAAATCGCAATATTATTATCGTATATTATACTCATAATAAATTATAGGTGTACTTGGGCACTTACGCGTGTGGGACATATCGTTATGTTTCAAGCGCACGCTACGAGTATCGAGTTTGAAACCTTATATACGTGTAACGCACAATGGCAAATTTCTCTTGACAGTATAATGTCATCGTTTAATAATAGTATATTATTATAATAACGGCCACTCAGCGCCGGTTTAATTCGCATGTGCAGAACGCTTTTAATTTCATTTTTTTTTTCGTCGACGTGTGCTTCAAATGCGTTTGTAATTATTATTAGTAATAAATACTAATAACTATTATCATCTCATGAGTATACTCACTCCGCTACTGCACCGCGTTCGTTGCATACCTAAATACTAATATAGTGATATGACGTGTATGCTCCTAACCGTGGTATCCGCGTAGGTACACAGTTATTTCTCGGCCCCTTTCAGTTCAATAATAATATCACAATCATCTATTATCACTACCGCGCTGCTCTGCGTATGGCGTCTTCTCGTACGCGCCGTGTGATCGTCTTAAATCTTGTCTTATATATGATCCAAGGCGACCGTCATAACAATATCATGTATTATAATATCAAACGCGTTATAATATATTAATTGAATAACTTCGAGCGAGGTATTCGAACCGGTTTGTTCCATACGATACAATTATTGTAACAGCTACACGGTCGGACAACTGCACTTCGTAAGTACCTATGAAATAATGTATTTAAATATTTATATACCCGACTTTGCCCGTGAAAATATGAACTGGTATTAAATACTGCCCTATATCGCGGGTGTAGCTCAGTTCTAGTACCTTCAGTTAACGGACAAAACGGCATATCGAAGTACCTCGCTTTATAAATTTATAAACTACAACTCTACGGAGATTAGTGATCTACCTGTGGCGTATTGTAGGTATAACTTTGGTATAGCTTTGGTATGTTATCGTTTATCGAACTTTGGTTCAAATGACTTTCCAAGCTATTCTGGTATCTCTTATAACAATCTTTGTAATTGTCGTCAAAATTGGTTTTCTGGTTTTTGATTCAATACGCTTTAAGTAAATAGCACATTTTAATGACAAACGATAAACAAAATATTATTTTCTTTTCCTATAGCGACGCATTCTAGTCCACACCAATTTTTGTTGTTAAACTTAATCTCTGTAACCAATGGCAAACGTAATATAAAGGAAAAATCATTCAATTTTCTCGAAAAAAAAGTGGCTGAAAACCCACTCCAAGTCCCAAGTTATCTATTTATATTACTTTCGTTGAATTCAGTTCGGTAGTTTCTGAGATCAGCGGGTTCAAACGTTTACAAACTTTTCGGCTTATTATGTATTTCAAAGTGCTTACTATAAAGATAATAGATATATATTATATACCTACTTGTGCTATAGCTGTTATTGTCTTATCATCAGCTGATATAATATATATTATTCACGTGCGTATGTAGGACCTCCGGACCCACCGGCCGGCAGACCTGTTGTCTCCGTGTCAGAGACTAGTGCGGACGTAACGTGGTCCAGTCCGGCGTACGACGGCGGGTGCATGGTCACCGGTTACGGCGTGGAAGTCCGACCGTTCAACCAGTCCGATTGGAAACTAGTGGCCGACAAGTGAGTGACGATTTTTTAACATTTTTTTTTTTTTTCATCTTCCTTTACCCGTCTAGACCGTTAATAATATAGTATTGTTATACTCTATAACGTTTACGAAAATATTTTACTTATAGTTATTACTACGTGTCGATCACTTGTGCATTACATTATAATTCATTCGTGTGTAATAATGTACTATGCGATGAGGTCCATCGCGTTATCTACAGTTTTCCCTTGTCAGTTATATGTGAGAAATCGGAAAAACTCAGAAGTCGGTTCTGAATATTATTATGTCGTAGGGACGTATGTATTGTATCGCTCGTCGTAGGTAATACTATATCTACTTAATATGTAGGTACACGTCATATACGTGTCGTTATGCCTCAACCGATTATTGCGATCACGGATCGAATGGCCGACGACGTGTGGTGTTGGAAAACAGTCGATCGAATAATAATAACAACAATAATGATTAATAATATTTTTTACTATAGTTGTTATTTTACGAGTGACGTGTGTCGTTAATAATACATATTTTTTATAAGCAATGTATACCTGCAAACATATTGCAATATCCACGCTTATATTATCAATTATAATATTATATAATTTAACTTTCTAGAGTATAATTTTTACAAAAAAGAACATATATTGTTTCTTTTTCATAATCACCATCGTTTACGACAAATTATCGTACACTTTATTGCATTCGAAGGTCGTCGATAGCATATTAGTTATGATAATAATAATTTATACTAGATCTCTGCGATACATTGAAAAAAAAATTCGATTCAAGCATTCGACGAGCACGATCCGTTTAGGCACGCCTGGCATCATCATAATATTATACCTAAGCAATTTTCAATAGCGAAAGCGGAAAAATTCTTGTCGAATTTGCACCTACTTCCTGCTACCCTTTTACTGCGGGAGTTTTCCTCGTCTAATAATCAAAACAGTCGTAACTTCGCAGTCACATGCGATCAAACACATATCGGTTTAAATAAATTACATAACGCTTTATTATATAATCATAATGATACGATACCCGCGGCGTGTGATTACAAACTATATGTCCCCTTCCCCTTGACCAAATCGCTTGTCACCTTCCGCGGCTTTGCATGTGAATCTAATGCCATTATTATATTAATACGATTATACACCATTATATTATTTACATAATAATATTATTATATCGTTTTGTATGTTGTGACGACTATTCCTTATCCATCTCTTTCCAGGTGTCACTCGTTATCTCACATTGTCCGGGGTCTGGCACCCGGTGAGTCGTACGTGTTCAGAGTCCGAGCGGAGAACATGCACGGATCGAGCGAGGCGAGCTTAGAATCCACACCGGTGTACATACTGCAAACAGGTAATGTATATTTTTAAAAGTGATGATGTATTTTAATTTGTCCGACATTTTATCGCACTGGTATTAGATCATATTGGTTACCATACCGTCTGGTTTTAACGGACAGTGGAGATATTTTGCACGGGTCCTGACCAACACAATGTAATATAAATATTCATAGCAAAATCCTATTTACGAATCCGCCTCGCCTGACCATGCATATATTATTAATTATTATCATATTAATGTGTGGGGTATGCACTGCGTTATTATAACCGTCACGTCTCGCGCTGTAAGCGTATCTGAAGCACGATATCAAGGGCGAGGGATGATTAAAATGCTTAAACACAAGTACACAACTCTTGATTTTTCAAAAAGGTTCCTATCCATTCGATAGTGGGGAATTTATACACCGTAGACTTCTTGAATTTTTGTTTTGAAAGACACTTTTTTTCCACCGCTCTTCCCTCTCCTCGCAGCAAAAATTACTAAATACACCACTGGACCCTCGGCGAGTTTGTAACCGAAAGCGTGAATATATAACGGCAAACGAACCGTCGTCAATAAAATATGGTTAATGCGTATATTGCCTTATAAAATATTACATTAAAAACGAGTAAAAGTCCATAACACCATATTAATAACGCTTGTACAATTGGCATACGTGATGTATACATCAAGTCACGCGAGTAGGCCTGCGAGGAGTGGGCGATAAGAGAGAGTCCAGTACACGGCGGCGTGTTAATAAAAGACGAAAAGTAGATAAATAATATTCTTTCAGAACTTGCCATATTATAATTATAGGTCTGTAATAGAGCATTATAGGTCTACACAGCAGAGAGAACACGTTATTACTTTTCTTATAATTATTATTTTTGTGTTTTTGTACACTTGCTCTTGTGTTTATCTTAGCAATCGATGTAGATGTTTAATAAAAGTAATTTAAATAACATAAATGGAATTTCTTCGTAGTAGGTATTTTATAATATAATAGTTATATTTTTCTATGACTAGAATAAGAAATAAGTCCATAAACTATTAAATCAAATAATTGGTCGATAACTCTGGTAGGTACCTACATACATATGTCGTGGTACATAATATTTAATTGAACTACAATATTACGTTTAATAATTATATTATATAAATCAGATTTGACTAATAAAATATTAAAATATAACTTACAATAAAAAAAACATTATTTGTATTGAAAATAGTTGCTTAGAACTTTTTTCACTTGAATTGATACTGAGCAATGAGCATAGTAGATATATGACATCACGTGTATAATGCATAATACACGATATAAATAAAGTCTATGACTAAATTTGCATTATTGAATTGATAATAATATTAAATTATGAATTTAAAGATTATGGAAACACTCTTTGGCCAAAAACAGTTAACATAGAAAAAGGTGAACAATTCGATGGGCAATACGAAGTACTGGATGAACTTGGAAAAGGCAGATATGGAGTCGTGTACAAAGTTAAAGAACGCGAGACCAATAAATATTATGCTGCTAAGTTCGTCAGGTGCATCAAGTCAACGGACAAGGAAAAAGCCCAAGAAGAAGTGGACATAATGAACTGTCTGCGACACCCAAAACTTTTACAGCTCGACGCGGCTTTTGATAAGCCCAGAGAAGTGGTCTTGGTCACCGAATAGTAAGCAAGTATTTTATTTGAAAGAAAAACTCGATTACCAAGTACAATAATTTTGTTAAATAATCACTCAAATGATTTGTCGGTGTCAAAATCATTTTTTTAGTTAATATGCATTTATATCATATTATAATTAGTGATTTATAATTGATCCAAATATTACAGTATTATTTTAACAAATACAATTCAAAATGAGCACACACCTTATATTTTGTTCATTTACGTGTGGGGTTATTCGTATAATTTACGGAACTTGTGTTTTTCGTTTTAAATTCAACAATTATTCCAAAATATTAAATATCATCAAAAAACTCTGAACTGAATCGAATATTTATAATCTCATCTAGCATTTCCGGTGGTGAACTATTTGAAAGAGTAGTGGCCGACGACTTCACGCTCACTGAAAAAGATTGCATTCTGTTCACCAGACAGATATGCGAAGGCGTGGACTACATGCACAAGCAGAACGTTGTGCACTTGGATTTAAAGGTATGTATATTTTTTAGAGTCTAATTAGTCGTTATCCCAGAGCCTGTAAAATGGTCATGTTGATTAGTTTAGATATGTTCTAAGCTTAAGATCTTGCAAAAGTGTATTTGAGTATTGTCAAATAGTTCCATGTAGTAAAATAGTATAAAAGAATATTTTTCTATAATTCGGAATTATTTGCTAAAATACCCGAGTAATAGGTAGATGGTTCGTTATTATTTTTCCATTTCAAACTATAACTCATAAAAAATTATTTATCATTGTTTTTTAATGTTATTTAAATTATATTAGAGAGTCAATATAAATGGACGAGTTAAAAATTTGGCTTCGTATTAAAATTAAAATATATTGTTTTAACAATGGGTGATGAACTTGTTTATTTTTGTTAGTTAGAAACTTGAAAAAGACGTATACATATCAGTGCTAATCTCAAAGTAGCTACTATAGATATTTCTCCTTTGCAAGGAAAATTGAGGAATCATACATTTATAGATATGTTTTTGAGTATAGTGCAGTCGAAAAATGTTTAGAAGCATGCTAAATTTTTGTTTTGTTAGTGTAAATTTCAGTTTTAGTGGCAATAAACAAAAAGTTAAGAAAATCAGCCTCTCAAAAATCGGTTGGAAAAAAAATTTGTACCCAGCCTAAAACATATTTATGCTAACATTCCACTATTATTCAAATTATCGTTTTCTGTACAAAGTATCATTCAATCAATTAACATAAAATATATTTTTATTTTATTTTTAAATCATACTCAATATTTTCAAAGGTGCAATGATTATCCAAGTACCTACTATGCCTATGGTACAATATTTTGCACCTACTGCTCATATATTTACAGACAATAACTTTGTAGAGACGTTTGTTCTAATTTTCTCATCAAAATAATGTTTTATTTAACGCCATTTGTACAATGTAATTTAATAATTTGGTTGTTTCGGTGCTTAGCCAGAAAACATCATGTGCCAGTCCCGGACTTCGCACTACGTCAAGCTCATAGACTTTGGGTTGGCCCAAAAAATCATACCGGGACAACCAATGCGAGTGCTTTTCGGCACCCCCGAGTTCATCCCACCCGAGATCATCGGCTACGAACCCATCGGCCTCGAATCGGACATGTGGTCCGTGGGAGTGATCTGCTACGTGCTGTAAGTGATCTGACTGCAATACCCTTTCGGTGCACCTCGACCTGTTGTGAATGTGTTTTAATTCTCACGATTTTCATTTTTCATTTTTTCACGGCGCTCAGATTGTCCGGTCTGTCACCGTTCATGGGCGACAACGATCCTGAAACGTTCACCAACATAACGAAAGCTGAATTTGATTTCGACGATGAGGCATTCGACGCCGTCTCTCAGGACGCCAAGGACTTCATAAGCGCGCTGTTGATCAAACGCAAAGAGTACGGTACCCCCACTGCCGTTGTCCTTCGAGATAACGGTGTCGTGATGTATAACATCGTTGTTAGGGTTTGGGACTTTAGAATATTACATTATGCACTCATTTATAATATCCTGCCTCCCCCTTAAACATATTGTAATCAGGGGCATTTGATTATATTTGATTCACTTAAAATGTAGAAATAAGCGCAATATTTTATTTGAAACAAAATACATTTTAAACATAATCATAATTTGCCATTACATCATTGGAGTTAAAAATTATTAATGACTTCTTCATTAGATTATTAAACTAATAAAAACATATGTATACATTTCTTGGAAGCCGGTTTCTACCTGCTAAATTTAAAATAAATTGTAAAATAACTTAATTAATGGCAACTCGTTTTGAGTTTGAAAAATTATTTGCTCGATAAAATATATTTAAGGCATACTATTAATAGGTCTCATATGATTATATTATCTTAATCAGATCATAAAAATATTGTTTATTTTTAATTTACGACAATTTATATTTGTATGTGAATAATACCGGGTGTATATGAAGAAATCATTTAATAATATTGGACACCTTAACATGTTAAAATGAGATGCTGTATTTGAATAAAAACTAAAAAAACTAAAAAAATATCTCTTTATTACTCTTCTATGTTTTGATACACTAATGTAGTATTGCTAAAATTCTTGAACTCTAGATTATCGTAAACTTGACAAGATCGGTAATGTCAAAGAATAGTTTATTGACCGCAACCTTTTTTGCAGGTTAAGACTTACTGCCAGAGAATGTCTGAAACATAAGTGGCTGGCGCAGCAGGACATGGACATGAGTTGCGTAATACTGAGCACGGATAAACTTAAAAAATTCATCATCCGACGAAAATGGCAGGTTAGTACTGATTTATATAAATACGATATACCTATCAATAATTACACATTTAAGTTGTAGATTAGCAGCGTTTGGCATGATGTGTACCTTTAGATAATTCCCCCAAAGCGTGTGATCTAATAAAGCTTGCGTCCATATAATGAATTATAATATATTATTAAAATTGTATTTTGAAAGTGTTGTCGAGTGGTTGACAATAACTGTAAGCTTAATCGTAATAATAGATAATATAGGTTCTATTAACATTGAAGTATATAACATTAAAAATTATTTATATTATATTTCGTGTATCTGCATCACCAAACACCTTAAATAAAATAAAATATGAATATTTAATGAAAAACAAAACAACTTTATTTGATATAAAAGTTAACATTTCAAAACTGAAGGCGTCGTAAAACGTAGGCATAATAAATTGACTATAAATATTGAAATAAAAATTTAACTTTACTAAACAGTACTATTCTTTATTTAAACAATACTATTTTATTATATGTATATATATATATATTTTTTATCTAAAAGACATTTAATAATAATCACCTCGTTGGAAGCGTAATACCTAAAAGTGTACTGCTATGGTCTGCAACTTTGATAATCGAGTCAACACAGATCAGCCACATTAAACCGTAGACTTTAAGTTAACGCATTTGATAATAAATCGGTATAATAAGTTATTAACTCTTAATATTGAATTTTTGTTAGAACCCAAAAAACGTAATTGTACATCACAGTTCACAATAGATGACGCAGACATTACGTTCGTTTAGTACCTTTGTAGAATTTTTCGGTGTTAGTTTAGATGATACTAATTCCAATTCAGTCGGTTCTGAAGAATCAACAACGAAATCGATTGCCTTTTTATTGTACGAGATCATAAATAAATTAAAATAATTTTGAGTTTGTTACGCGCAAACTTGATGAAACTACATTTTTCATATTTAAAATCAATAACACTATAATCGTTATAAATTTTTACCAGCATCTGTCCTAACGGCTAATACGATAAATTCAAAATATAAAGCTTACAAATAATATATAACTTGTGTAATATTTTTTTATTTAATAGAGTAGTTTTTTGATTTAACTAACACGTTTTTTTGTGCTTGTGTGTGTTTTTGTGTGTTGTGCGTGATGTAATCAGAAAACTGGCAACGCAATCCGTGCCCTGGGCAGGATGGCCACTCTGTCAGCGGCTAGCAGACGTGGTGTCAGTGGAGGTGGAGGAACGGGAGGTGGATGTGGAACCGGAATCGTTTTACAAAAGCTAAAAATGGCCAGCCTGAGAGAAGAAGAGGCGGCCGGAGAGTCACATTCGGAAGCTCATGAAATTGCGATAACCGAAACAACGAAAAATGGCAGTGGCCATAAGTCTTGTGACGCTCGCAGCGACAGTGGCTTTAGTGATTGTCCATCTATAGCTTCTCCTACTGCGATGCTTGTCCGTCCGGCAGAATGTCCATCTGCCATATCCGAGGAAACGCCACCGGTTTCCGACCAGGATCGTTTTTCTCCACCACCTACTCATGGCTCTTCTTCACCCATCACTCGTCGTTCTTCTTCTCCTACCACTCATCGGTCTCCTTCTCCCACCACTCGTCGTTCTCCTTCTCCCACTACTCGTCGTTCTCCTTCTCCCACGACTCGTTGTTCTCCCTCTGCTCCCCTCACTTGTCGTCCTTCTCCTCCAGGGGCCGCTTGTCATCCTTCTTCTCCTGCTACTCATCGTCCAGCTTCTCCCGCCACTCGTCGTCCGTTTTCTCCTACAACTCATCGCTCCTCGTCTCCCACAACCCGTGGTTCATCTTACCCAGCCACTCGTGGACCTTCTCCTCTCGCAACTCATCTCCGTTCTCCTCTCCCACGAAACCGCCGTGATGCCACTCATACTGTTCATGACGTACCACTGCCCGCAGGTACCGGAGTCAGTGGCGTGTGCAAGACAAACAGGATAATCTTTGACAGTGGACGGCGTGACGGCAATGCTTCATCGCCTGGCATGGGCGGGGGCGGCGTTCAGCGTAAGGAACCCATTCGCATACAGACGGCCGATAATTTCAAGAAGGCTGTTGCCTTTTGGAAACAGTGAAATATTATATTTTTTTATAACAATACATGGTGATAACGTCACCCTCTTAGATCGGGTGTGTTTTTTTTCTTTAACTAATATGCTATTATCGAACTATTATTATATATTCATTATTATACCTACCTACACATATTGTTTCGGATAGTAAGACTCTCGTTTTTACTTTATAACTGTTTTTTTTTAAATTTATTTTTATTTTATACTTTAGATATGATATTTTACGTGTTATTTCATTATTGCCAAAGCTTAGACATTTAATTTATAAGTGTACATATTAATATTACTATCACATAACGGTTTGATATAATTCAATGAACCGTTATTCGCATTTCATAATGTTGTTATATTATACACATGTGCCATTGACCTTAAGCCGTTTATACAAATATATTATTTACTATTTTATTATTATATATTATATACATTATACATAAACATGCCTATACTATCAATCGTCGTGTCTCGCTCATTATTACCAATTATAGTCCCGTGTTATTGTTATAGCATAGGTGTCTTGAATAAAAAGATTATTGTAAGTCAGCTTTTTATTGTCCGCCGTCTGGATATTTGTATTTTTATGTTTTTTTTCGTGTGTAAACTTTTACAATTAATTATACATACATATTAAGCAGTTAGAGATTTATATTTTACTATAAACATCATAACATACAATTCTTTCACAGTACAAATTACTGCAGTTATACCTTCATGTCGTCGTATAATTCACAATGTTGATTTTCTACTTACATTATTTTTAAGATGACAAAGCAATGTGAGCATAAAGTCCTGTCCAGGCCAAAGAAAAATTTATTAAAAACATGTAGACACATTTTTCCGACCAATATTTTAGGGTCTGGGCCTGGAGTAAAGAAAAACAAATGTACTATAATATAAGTATATTATCTTATTCACTTATTCATATTTTGGTGTTCACTAATATTAAGTTATAATTATAAAATTATATATACAGATACATGGTTGTATGCTCAAGAAGTAAACCAACAATGAAGTGTGATCATAATAAATTGTATTATTGTAATATAGGTGATAATTTTATAATTTAACTATACAGTTAACTGTATTGATACTTTGACAAATTCAAAAAATATTATAACACGGCGTAGTGGATAGGCAACTTAACTTGACCTTTATCGCTAGTGCATTCCGATGAATCTCTTACGTATGATAAATGATAATATTAAACCCAAAGTTACCTATCATTATTGTCAATTATAATTATAAAAATAAGATAATGTCTAATATCAATTTTTTTGTGAAATTAATGCAATTTAATTTATGCACGATAAAGTTAAATAAACGAAATTAAAAATACCTTCCACACATGGCCGTCCCCACCAGACTTCTCAAGGAAAATGGAAACCGCGATCAATAGAATTCGTATAGGACATACATCGATACTACACCAGTATCTGATGAAGAAGGAAGACCCACCCCTATGTGAAAGCTGCGGTACTCCCCTCTCAATCAAACACATCTTAACTGAATGCCTTTCATACGAAACGGATAGATGAGAAGCAGGCAACTCAAACATTCCGTCAGAAGCCCTCCACCCGGACAACATAAAACACATTATAATATTTATTTTTAAATCCAACCTTATCAATAATATTCCACCCATTCATTTAACCCATTCTGGATCTTCATCCGAGTCATGGACGAACTATTTAAAGTTTTTATTTTATTTTCAATACAGCATAGAAATATGTATTTAAATTAAATTTTCATAATATATATTTACCTCATAATCATCATCATCGTCATCGTGTAATTCAGCATCGCTATCATTTAGCCAATCTTCAAATAATTGATCCATAATAGGTACTTATATTGTAAATAATAACATACATATAATTACACTTACCACTTACGTATTTTATGTATAACACTATAACGTATGACGGTTCGTACAATAGTGCTAGCCGACTATGACTAATGACAGTCCACAGAAAACATTATTATATAAACACTATATTTGTACGATTTATATTAAATACTGAGCATCGATAAGAATATGATTTAATATATTTGGAAAATACAGTCGTTAAAATAAAAATAGATTTTATTTCATAAAGAAACATTATATCTCAAAACCATTTCATAGAACTTCCAAGGAGGCCACGTCAAATTATTTTTCCATATAAAACCATGTATTGCGACGGTTCTCAGAACCCTACGCGGCCTAGAAATATATTTTAATTGTAGGGTCTGAAGACCCTACAAAGCCTGATAGTAAAATATACTGTAGGGTCAATAGATCCTACTTGGCGATAATAGCAAGTCTGGTAGTTTTAGCGTGGCAGTCAACCTGTTAATATGTAACATATATCATGTAAACAATTTAGAGTTAAACTCTTTGTTGCCAATTTCCATAGTTGCCGAGGCTTAATTCAAATAAAAAAAATAAATAAATAAAGTTAAAGTTATACAAGGAGAGACATTTCTTCAAATTGTTTAGAATATTATTTTCCTTTGGCTGCTGTAGACAGCCATTATTATCTAAATATAAGCAAATTACCAAATAATATTGTTACATAAAAAACATTCATTAAAACTATATGAGCACAATGCACATAGATTACATATCATATGCAGCACCATTTAAAAAAAAGAATTTCCTGCACATCCCTACATTTGATAGGATTATAAACTTATGTTAAATTATGGCAGCAGTGTAGGTACTAGTAATATTCACACAGATACTCAACTGCTGTCACTTAAAAAAAAAAAAAGTTGGGACTCACTACTATCCATAAATCAGTACCTAAAACCTACAATTATCTATTATACAATAAATATACTTCATAAACCTTTACTGAAATGAATTATAATTTATAACTACGTATTTATTTGAGTGTTATTGGTGTTTACTGAAATAATGGAATAAAAATAAAAATGTACGGTACTGTGTTAAGAGTTCTTGATTTTACCTCTATGAGCTGCTTGTCGTACGATTTGATTCACTCCTAGGAGTTAGCACAGTCGTATCTCCTACAACCATAATTATTGTCAGTTAAGCATTTTAAATAAAAATTAATTAATAATGGTTCATCTGTGAATATTTAGGTTGAAATTCAATAGTTATTAGTAGTAATACTTAAGTAACTTATTACCTTACCTATGTATGTACTTGACGATCGATACACATTTTATACATATTGTTCTTGTTGGAAGTTTTGAGACTTTTATTTGCCATCAGCGACGATAGGAAATTAGTTTTGACGTTCAGACCATCAGGATACCTTGAGTTTAACAGTGCCAGTGCAGTTTGTTGGGAACCACAAATACGTTATATGAGATTGTGAATTTAAATGATTAATTGTTCTTACCAATGAATAACGATAAAACAAGAACGCTACGACACAATGAAACAAATTGTTCCATTTCAATTAATCTTGTACGAATATTTGAATCTATTTCACTGCAGCAAAATTAGTTCTTCTAGCAGGAAACGGATTTTACAAAATATTTATGGATGTGGGCGTTTTCTTGATGACGAGAGTAAGTGCGGCAAATAAAAACAAACATTTATGTAGATCATAGTTGCATTTTATTTAAAACATCGAACACATATATATTGCACATTTAGATTTTGGTAAATAGTAAATATATAACTATTAATAATAAGTATCCCATTGAGGGGAAAAAAATTACAAAAAATTTAAAACACAAACGAAAAACCAAACGTAATAAATATTATAATAGTATGCTAAGCTATTGGATTAACATTTTGTTCTAAACGAATACAGTTGATGAAAATAAATTCATAAATTAAAACACGCGAAAAAAATTCTATTCGACACATTTTTATTAAAAACGGGGTTTTAAACGCATGTAGGCGGGGGATGACGTGGGGCAGCGACAAAGATTAAAACAATTTAATGATCATTAAAATTAATCGCATATATACTTTCAATTTCATAAAAATCGATTTTATGCACTTTGATAAGTATTAAACTCAATAATATTTTAATATAGCGAAAAATCACGTCCTGCACGTATACGATGTACTGTTGCAGCGTCGTGATGAGCGTATGTAATCATTTTTTTTTTTGTTTTCGGGAGCACATTGTGCCAAACATTGGACGAGTGGTGAAAAAACAAAATATTGCACACCGATATGGCTATGTAATTTATTATATTCTATACCGTTTGAGATAAGGTGCGCAACAATAATATATAAGAAAAAAACTCGAAGAACTAAGTGAACGTTGGACTTCTTCGCTTATAAGAAAAAAATAATAAAAACATCGATCATAATAATATTATAGTTTATATCGAAGGCGCGAATCGATTGCACAAATCATTGAAGGTAATAAAAAACAAAATATAATATTAAATACGATACTAAAAATGTTATATAATATCAATTACGCCGATCGAATTCAAAACATAATAGAAATTAATTTAATTTAATTTAAAAAAAACTTTAACTAAACATAATATAAATGTATGTATGATCATATTCGGCAAAGTAATAAAATAGGTTAGTATATGTGGTGACATTAGGTGAAACTTACAGTAGGTATGTGTTAATTCGGATCCTATATTTTAGATTTATCAATAGTATAGAATCTAATCTTGTGACCAAGTTAATTTATACGACTCATAAAACATCAAGAATTTATTGAAATGGGTTTTATGCCTTGTACGTTTTCGAATCACTAGTTAATAATTATATTATTTATAATATTGAATTATTTATCAGCGAGTAGAACAATGTTTGGTCATTGACTCCATATATTTTTTTGAAATAAATGGCCATAGTGTTTTTGTTCTGTTAAGCGAATAACCTATTAACTTCTTTGTCCCATGCAAGTGCTCATATTATTTTTAATTTGTAAACAGGGTGTATCTTATGTGATTGTACTCGAGGTTTTTTTAATGATAATTGATCGGTAATATGGAATTTCTAAAAACCTAACTCATGCCACCTATTAAATATTCAAATTTAACCTATTGTTAGTATAATAACTGTGAAGAATAAAATGTCAAGTTATTAACTAATTATGACTATAATGGGTGATAATAGTACTTATTTTATGATTAAAATAAAAATAATAAACTTTATATATTTGTAAACTATTTTTTGGTAGTTTATCCCAAAGTTGAATAAATATTTTTCTTTCAGAGAGTAACCAATTATTTCAGTTATAAGTATTAAAGTATTAATGAATTTACCAAACTTTAGAGGACCGTAATTACTCATAAGCTAACCAACTAAAATTGATAATTTGACTATCAATAATTTTAGAAAAAAAGCTCAAAAAATATAGTTGATATTATTTGACAAAATAAAGTTGAGTTTGTTGTTCGTGTAACTTTATGGTTAAAAATATTAGTATTAAGATAAAAAAAATGTCCAATTACAAATAAAGAAACATGGCATCTTTTTGTCTATTTTAAATTTCATATTATCGAAACATAATCGTTAAAAACCTAGTGTTCAACAACATAAAGATACAACCTGTATATATATAAATATATATTCATTCTTACTAACGTAAACTACAATTTATTTATATTTGCATGGAAATAATAGTTTATTTTATTTTACTATATGTCACATAAACTTTGGCATTATATAAAAATAATGTATGTTCCGAAAATCATGTATTCAAAATGTATCACGTCGTATTATATTTTTGTTGCGCAATGGATGTGGAACTTTTTGATTCATAGTAGACCAAAATACTATAGGCGCAGTCGACGAATTAATAATAATAATATGTAGATTATACACGGGCAGATTCAAGAAAAGATATTGAGTTCGGTCAGGTATACACCACCTTTCCAATATACCTAGGCACCAGCTGTATGTATTACTTGTACCCTCCAAGTAAAATAAAATATTAAACTACCTACTGCAGTACGCTATATTTCACAATATTATTATCTAATCGTACCGAAACTTATGCGAAGTATTATTACAATAAATTTCGATTCACAAACATAACATAACAGACAAAAATTGTACTAAAGACAACTCTGAGATTCAAACATTTCGGTTGTGGTGGTGGACGGGTGGGTTGGTGGAGCAAATAAACGACCACGACGCGACTACGATGCGCATGTGGTAGGTACATATAATTTAATAATGTCATGTCGTTCTATACGATCAAAATAAATACTTATTTATAAATGGGGACAATAATATCTTATCGACATTGGCACACTACACTTAAACATAATTTTTTTAAGCTACCTACAACAAACGAACATTTATAATAATAATAATAATAATAATAATAATAATAATAATAATAATAATAAATTAAACTATGTGAAGATTCGCGTAGTACAGACATTGTGGATTACAATGAAATGTAGATAAGTAATATAGTCATGTTAATCACAAAATGACGCGTGTATCGAAATATTGCAAAAGCTGACAACGTAAATAAATTATAAAAATTAACAATCTGTCTATGAATACGCATTCTGACTGACGATGAGTATTGACGAGAACTCTGCTCGATCCGTATAATGTTACAATATAGGAGGACCAGATGATACCGGTTCCAGAAAAATATTTGAGAGTTCCGGTGTATCTCAAATAATGATTCTATGTCAACCGATTTAATTTGCATGTAGATTTAAACATATACCATTTGATTTGTTGTTGTGAAGAATCGATTGCTGCAGAACTGGTTTTTTTTTAGTGTAACTCGAAAAAGTAACAATCGCAGTACTTTTCGCGAGTACGTGAGTACTGTCTCGAAGGTTGAAAAAGTTAAGGGTATCTTATAGACATGGATGAGCAACAATCGTGGACCGGGCAGAATTCTGGTGCAGTGTTATACATATTACAATATAATAAAATTATGATATTGAGTCGTTATAGTTGTTCTTAAAAAGTATGAGCGTTTCGGCACACACCACACCCCAACGCGAACTCTTCACCCGTTGGAGGATGTTTGACGTGCAGTGGGCATTCGTCTACGTTCAAAGAGGTCGCTCTCGGGCCTGCAGAAATAGATAAAATGTCAATAAATGGTATAGTCGACACAACTTAAAGCATAACTTTAATCTATGTTCTAGGTAGATAAAAATCACCCGTTTGGAAGAGTCACATATTTTATAGTTTATTTTATCCAATTTTGGAAAATGATGTTTCTCTTTGAATCTTAATACAGTACATTGCCATGGCTCGGTAAGTTGGTAATAATTTTGAATTGGGTTAACAGTGATTACAAGGAAAAGTTAATATACATATGAAAACGTTAAATAATATTATTTTAAAAACACATTTTAATTGTATTTAAGAGCACAGCTACACAGAAAAAACAGTGGACTGATTTGTTATCTGTCTAATGTCCTAGATTTGGCAATGTAAATTTATATGTTCATGATTATTTTTTTTTCATATCGATTAGGTATGTGAATTCGGGCGGTGTGCCCTCATGCGGGAAATGTACGGAAATATTATTGTTGGTAGACAATGGAATAATATTATCATAGTCATTTTTATTTCAACAATCTCATACCTGCGGGGCACGGTGGTAGTTCGTGGGGCAACAGGTTGGTGACACGCTGAAAGTCATCGTGGCAAGCGTTGCAAAAGTGCGTCGTTCCGAAGCAGAAGAACACGGCTACCGAACAGCAATAACGGCACTTGTACTCGAGCAAGTCGGTTCCGTGTTTGGGGCACATCTGAGCTCGGGCCACGTCGCTACACCCACCGCAAACCAGTTCTTCAGGATCGTAATCGGTCCCACCCACATCCAGCTCGCACCGAGCTTCACCGCCGTAATAGGCCTGCAAAACACGAGGTCATGGTTTATTAAAATAGCTTTCGTGTGATAATATCGTATATATTACACTAGTATATTGTTGGAAAATATTATCTTTATAGATTTAAAAATATGTGGCATATGGGATTATCCGGAAGACTCGATTATGAGTCGCGCGTATAGATGAAGTTATAGTCACATAAGTGTTTGAATAATTTAGCTTATGAATAATAGTATAAAGGTTTAAGGTATTTTTAATTAGAACTTATAATTCCTTTCGGTAGAACTATGAAGTATTTAAAATACTAGATAATAATAAATAAGCCAGACAAACACATGTATTATGTTGGGATGAAATATTGATGTAAAAATATAAATTCTTGTGTACTAAATATTATCACTAACAATATGTGTGACAGTACCTGGTAATCACGAATCAAAATATTAAAAGCTAGTTTTGCAAAAATGTCTAATAAACATAAAAAGGTAGTTAATATTATGTTTATAAGCATTCTCCTAACTGGTGCTATTGGTTTATATTACCTTGTATTTGTTTTTAAAACACTTATACTTTCAATGACATTACGCTTTTGATTGAAAACTATATTGTAGATTTGGTCGACTTACTTTTTTACACTTGAAACACACGTAATACGCGTACTTCTCCATGGCATATACGGCTGCGTGATCTTTTTTCATCGTACAATCGCCTTCGTATTCCAAACGCATCAGAGCCTTTCGCTTGACGTCGGCCATCAGCTCTCTGATTGGGTCCAGGACATCCGATAGGCACGCGTGCTCGATTGGAGTCTGTATTACAAACAAAAATAGGTCAAACAAGTGGTGCCAATAACAATATATGTTACTCTTGCGATACTCACCTTGCAGATAGGACACTGTTGAAATCCAAACGTGATCCGCGGTCCTGTCCATTTGTTGATCAGCACTCTCTTGCAACACTGATAGTGAAACACGTGTCCGCAGATTAGCTGAAACGATAATGTTGTTTTTTATAGATATTTTTTTACATTCTCCATCGTGTCGTGCGTGTCTTTCCGTCGATCGTGGTCGATTTACGTTTCGAGTTTATATTATTACGATTGATCATTATTCTCATAAATTGTCTCTTGTCGTGTATAGTTATACCTGTATGGATGGTGCAGCAGACAGGGCGTCCGTGAAGCAAATCATACACATGTCATCGGCATCTTGTTTGAGAGACGGATTTTCGACGGAGGCACACCCATGCAAACACGGTAAGCAGTTCGTTTCGCCTTTGATGCCCCCGCACAAATGGCCACATTTTAATATCCTTTGACATCCGGTCTGCGCGTGTAACTGTAAATAATTTTATTTAAACGACGTGATCGAACGGAAATGACAATATGATAAAGTAAACGCAGTTGTAGAAAATTATATAAAATAACACAATGTATGTTCATAAAACTGTACGATCGGAATAAAATTGATTTCAAATACCCAGTTTGAACTGTTTAAATCAAAAAATATAAATGCTGATTTTTTTTTACTTGACATATTGTATATATGTAATGATAATAATATCCATTTTTTATACCTGACACTCGTCGTTGGCGCAGACGTTGCCGATAGCGAGCAATCCATCGTTGCTGACCATGCCACAATACCGGCAGACACCGACTCTGGCGAGTTGCAACACGTTGGCCCGGGCAATCGGTGCCGATAAGTCTGAAGAGCCAGATGAAGTATCTCGAAATTCGACTAACGCTTGCAAAGTGGCCTTGTCGGCTAATGCAAGTAGCCAAAAAAGTTTGGTTCGTCCACACCCTTCGTGCAAGTCGACTCTGATGGCTTCTTCTTCTTCTTTGCACACCTGAACACACGAATCACACGCACAACATTAGTTAGGTATTATTTGTCATCGTGTTGCTAATCGTGCAAGCGTGTAACACTAATAACGTGTGTCGTCATGGCTTATTTACTTGTCTCTGGTGATGTTTGGTTTTCCTGTGCAAATGTAAGATCCTGTCGCAGTCGACGCAAAGATTTCCGCACGTAAGACATTGTATTGATGCCGCGGTCTCACCGTCGTCGTGATTCGAACACAGCGGCTAATAATGTATTAAAAGTTTATTAAACTCAAATATATAAGATATCCCCACATGGCTTTATCGCAACAGATCAATTAAAAAAACCTTAGTCGTAGCCGTATATTACTATTATTCGTCTCCAACGAATCAGATTGAATTCAAATAATTCTGTTTCAAGTGTATAATTAGTAAAAACATTGTCAAGTTATACAAAAAAAATTGATCAATAACAGAGTAAGTTTGGTTTTTAATTTCAATGATGTCTATCTGTGGACATGAAGTATTCATGTTTCAAACAAAAGTACTTGTAAGAAATTGTTTTTTTTAACCTATTATTTTTAAACTTGGTCTTATAAATGTCCCAAACCTTGTCTAAATGAACTTCAGAAATCATATCGTCACCTATGGTCCCTATATTATCATCTTCCTGGGATATTATACTCACTCTCGGTGGAATCGGCTTCGAATCTTCCGGTTTAAACCACTGGCCGGACGATAACCTCTCCGCGTGCTCCGGGTGCAACACACAGTGCGAAGCTAGAGCCAACCACAATACGGGATTTTTAATGCAAGATTCCATTGTTCTGTGTTCTTTGCTCAACCTCGTCAAGTTTAGTATGTTTTCGGCAATTGCCGCTCGGGTCGTGTCGATCCAGTTTTTGTTACCACCCAACTTTCCCTAAACAAAAATAATAACAAAATATTTTTTATTTTGTTTTACATACAGCCCTCGGTAATTGCTTACGTTTGACAAATCCCATAAGATCTGTATGATGTCATCGGCCAATTTTCTGTGAGAAATCCCTTTGAGATACCACAATGATTCGTCTTCGTCCAAATCGACGTCATGAAGCTTCAGCGAATTTACTACTTTGCTACCATTTGCACCCTTCACTTTTACTTGCAATATCAATGCTTTCGCAATGATGCTCAAGAAACTATCGAGCAGTCCTACCTGGTAGCTTTTTGACGGCGGGCTGGCGATAGAAAACCCTGTAGAAGGTAGTCGAGATCCAGTCAACGAAGCTAATGCACTAGGAGACACCTCTGGCAGTACTCGTTTAAGCAATAACGTTACCTGGAAATCAGTTAATGTTTTATTTATTTATTTTTGGTAAAATTGACGTGTGCTGTTTATATTTATAATTTTGGAAAAACTATTATTGCCCATATAGTTATTACTTGTCTTTGGACTCTGGCGCTACCCGTGTGCAATAAACTCAACAAGTTAGACAGCAGATCGTATTGATTTGCTAGATAAGATCGACCGACGTTACTCCCACTTAGAGCTGACACCATCGAAAGCATTTCAAAACAATACGAGTCGGTCGGTGTGGCCGTTCCATTGTTGGATGTGGTGTCGTTTTTGCAAACGGACTTTTCCCACTCTTCACGCATTAGGATCGCTTCCTTTTGGATGGCGTCTACTATGTGCGTGCACACCTGGTGACAAAAAAGATTACAAATACTATTAGTAAAACGTGTTCGGTCACAATATATGGATCTAAAAATGATTACTTGTTTTTGCAAATGGGTCAATTTGCTTTGACTGAATAAAATTCCGACCATGTGCTCTTTTAGATCTTTACTTTCTTCAACACTAGAATCCATCGAAGTCACTTTTCCTTGTATAAGTTTTCCAAAAACCTTAAGACGACAATTAAATTTTGAGAGCGATTCATATTCAAATATTTTAAATAATTTTTTTTTACCTGGAAAGTAATTGATCGGAACACTTTTAGTGTTTCATTTTCACATTGCCGATGTTGTATGGTAGAGTAGCTATATTGCCGACCGTGTGCGAGAGATTCTCCAGACACAGTTCCGAGAACTTTGATTTGTCTTACACGCACCGATGTGTCCACTCCCCGTGCTTCGATGCAGAGGACTTTATGCGTTTGGTCTGCAAAAATATCAGATAAGTCAAATAATTATAGTATATCAAAAGTTTGCGTTTTTGAACACCGCGAAAATTACCATGTATGTAAACTCCAAGCCAACCACTGAATCGAGTATCAACATCGATTGTTTGTATTTTGTTCATTTGCTCGGTAGTTTGGCCGGATGAAAAAACTACAGTAGATATTTTGTTCTGTTCAAAAACAATACAGGTACAAACATTATTAAATTCATTAAATGTTCACTACCTATGTAAACAATGCGGGAAATACTTACATTTAAATCGCGACAATTATCGAAATGAACGTAAAGTGCTTTGGGATCTTCAGATGCATGATTGCATTGTATCGTGATTGTTTTGAATTTGTTTTTGTCGTCTTCGCTCGATTCCCAAAACGTTTCAGTCGTTCGATCAATTAAATTCGGAATCATTGCCGGTCGACTGCTTGCCGTGATTTCTGTATTTTCCGTTATATCTTTGAGTGATGACACAACGTAGTTATCGTTCTGTAAAGTAAAAGTCAATAACGTTTATTTTCCCACAAACTGCAGCCTTCATGATCACTTACCAAGGAAATGCCTGGTTGAGTGTCTTCGCAAACGTCTTGATAATCTTCACTGTGCGACAATATTTTGCTGATATTACTAAATACTTTACTCCTTGAGAACAAAACAGTGAAATAAAAAATTCAATATTACTCCAAAATAATAATTTGTAATTATTTTCAATTACCTGTGCAAAAACATGTGATCGGATGCAGTAAAATTAATATCCCAACAGCGGACGGCCATCATTTGTAGCGCAGACCCCGGCGGCAAGTACAGCATAAGGTCAGACACAGTCTGCAGAAACTGATAGAACACCTGTGGTAGTGGGTTCACGGATTCACCAGCTAGATATAAATCGCTCAGAGGATGTCGACATCGTGGTTCATTGGAGTCGTTGGTCCCGTCTAATGTGCGGACTTCGGCAGATAGCGCTATCACGAACCACCACAAAAGGTCGTGTAGACACGATGCTCGAGACACTTCATGCAGCAACCAGTTGAGCGCCTGATCAAATACAATAAGAAACTTAAACTAGGAAAAAAAATTGAATTTGCACTTGAAAAGTTTTTAAAATGAATTGAATATGATATATTGTTTTCTGGGTAATATATGATAATCTGTACACAACCTCCTCCGAAAATAAATCCTAGTTATGCCACCGGAGAGTATAGTTCAAAAGAAAACAAAAAGTATAAATATACATGTATTTTTTAATTTAAATAAATAATATACTTGCTTATAAAGTATAAATACTATAATTATAGGAACGTACTTTTACACAAGATATGATTTTAAAAATTTCAATATTTTTTAATCGTGTCATAAATATTAGTTTGTTCGTTTTAGTAAAAAATTTGATTTTTGTTATGAGTTATTTAAAATTAAAATGTAAAAAGATATAAAGTGCGTAAATAGATTTATCCAATTTACTTTCTTAAGAAATATGCGAAAGCTCAAAGTATTAGGCACTAAGCTCTTACAGTACCTACTAGTTATGCCAAAAGTAGGTAGGTACTTGTAAATGTTTTTAAATATTTAATTCAACTTCACCTAAACCATAAGATTTATAATATTATTCTTACTTGTAGAGCATAACTGCGGCACGCGGCTTTCCTCACCGCTTGTTTCATCGCCCATTTGAGATCAGCTAAATTGTGTGCTTCGACAATAAACGCCATAGATGCTCTGTTGAAAACGTTTATTTCGGACACATTTTCGTTGTTCGATATTATACCGTCGGCTGAGCACCCTACCATCGTAGTGTTATCGACGCTAGGAACGAGTGCCTGTAGGGCTGCCGAGGGCATACATACCAATGATAATCCATTGTCTAGAAGATAAGCATTATATAATATAAATATATGTCTTTAATCGACCCCATCTATTCTATTATACGATTGTCATGATATTTTAAGTTGTATAACTGTTTTAAGTTGGTAGAGACCGGAGTAATTTGAACTAAATAGCCAATGTTTATATATATATATTTTAAATATTATACAGCAAAATATTGTACATGCAAAACAAATATGACAGTACAATTAAATGTTTTTTAAAAATCTATTTAAGATTTAATAGTGCTTTTTTCTTAATTAGGTTGTATTTTCAAAATAAATATTGATTTCAAACAATTAACTTTAACTGAATATTTCTTGTAATTATTGCTATTTTTTTATTTACTTATGTTATAAGTGTTCATGTTTATATTTTATCAAATGTATTGTATTTTACAACAATTTTACATACTACATTAATTTTATAATTTCACTTATCGTCTGTATATTTGTATTAGTTATTATATTTTATCATAAATAAATAAAAATTTAGAACTGAAGAAAATATATAGTTGATAGTTATATAATAGTTGATTGTACACTCTGTTAAAATATGAAAATAGTCGCCAAATATTTTTAAATTCAAAGCTGAGTAAGAGAACTGTTTATTGTTTTATTTTGGTCAATAAAATGTGTTTTATATAGCACTCAATCAATGTATTAGGATTTATTATTGACCCTTTTGGCCCTTAGGTCGCATTTACTATACACTCCGTCGTTCTGTTTGATGTTGATATAAGACTACGTACCAGGATCGATGGCACTGTTGACCCGCTTTCGACGGTTGATCATGTCTTGGCGTCTCAGAGGTGACTTCTCGATGTCCATCGACACAGACCGGTGAAAGCTCCGCGTCACGGTTCCATCCACCACATCTTGGCTCGCTGAAGAGATCTAGAAGAACAGAAAAGATATTAAAAAAGTAAAAATAAAAATCCTTTGGTCAAAGGGTTGGTATGAATAAATACTTACTCCCGTTGAATCACAGTCGTGAAGTTGTTGCAGAAGTGCATCGCTGCAGGTGTCTGACTGCAGTAGCTCTTTACAGGCTGCAGGAGTCTCGAGGCTGTCCAGACATTTAAATTCACCTACGGTCCACGGGCCTGATGTTGGGAGCGACTCGTCACCGGTCAGCCTCCCACCGCTGGTGCTAGCCAAGTCCAACAAAAACATGGCATTCTCTCTGAACGTTAGGTGTAGGCTATCGACCAGATCGTCGTTGCAGCTTATTCCTGATTCAAATGGACATTGTATAATATGTTGAAATATTGTTATTATACGAGTATAAGCAATTATACATTTAAAAATATATAAAATGAACGCATGTATCCAATTTGAACATCCAAAAGTCCTCTATTTAAAGAAATATGAACTCTTATACTTTCAAACGAATATCTCGACAAAAAAATTATAAACCTCAAATGTACATTATACTGTCTTTATCGTGTCAGTAACCAAGCGGCTGCTATGCAGTTATATTAACTATACATTACGCCGTGTAACGTTTCACGATTGATAGTGTTATAGACACTCATCAACCATGTTTGTACACTATACGTATACCTATTGACTATAATTTTTATTCGAGTAGTTTAAGGTATAATATCAGTTTCGTGACAAACATGACTTGAAAAAAAAAATGTTATAGATTTTACTTTCTCATAAAATAGCTTGTGCACACACAAATGGTGCGTATTACTTCAGAATAGGTATTTCTTACTTTTAAAAGCACGTTTATCATCGGATAATAAATTATAGGATTGGATCCTAGGAATTAACAACAAATAAATCGGTCACATCGGTACATTATGATGATTTTAACAACACTCAATAAAGTAGGGGGTCGAAATTGGTATACTAACCGTGCAGCTGTTTGGACAGTTGTAGCGGTTTGGCGTTCCAGTCGTTACGGTCTTCGTCGTCACCTTCGTCGTCAGAGTCAGAGAAATCATGACCACCGTCGTCGTTGTTAGATGCGGGATAGGTGATAACTGCCTGTCGAACAACCGCGGCAGTCTTCCGGGACCGAGGAGCCGGGCCAGAGCCGGAAGCGGCGGACGGTTGTATCGGCTTGGCATGCTTCATGTAACCGGCACGGCAGGATTCGCAAAGGAGATACCACGCGATACCACCTTCACCACACGGACCCGACCAACCGTTCTTGTAGGTACCATTGCTGGTGTAACCACGACCTTCGCTGCTCTGACCGCATCCCGGGTGAGCGGTAAGCATATGATAAGACACGGGCACAGCAAACGTGTCACCGCACAGCTCGCATGGCATGGGCTCCTTAGTCTGGTAGTTGGGGCTTAGATGCCAGAATGACAGGGGAGGGTGCGTGGTCGGATCCATCGACGATCTATCACCGTCGTTGTCGCCGTTTTCAGCACTACCATCCACCGTTCGCCTAGGAGAAGACTTGCGGAGCACGCCAACCGATGTTATTATCTGTATATCACAGGATGTTAATTTTTAATTAATTATAATATTATAGATTTTATAGTTTTAAAAAATAATTCAGAATATGCGCCTATTAAGCCATTTTATTATGTTTTCCCTACCCACAAGTCGGCACGCATGGTGACCAATACAAAATTAATGTGCAATGCAAAACCCTCCCCTTCATAACCATTTCTTCACACAATCAATTATACGGTGGTATAAATGTAACTATTTTTTGACAAATATACTAAAGTTAGTCTACTATTAAATATGCGTTCCAAAGCAGTCTCGTTTCATTATTATCTCCGTATGTTTCTACCAGGTCATAGCATTGCAAAGTAAAATAGGTATATTATATTTTCATTTTTTAAATATATTATGTTAAACTTTTTTTGGTATATGAACTTATCTTATCAAATGTGATATCAAAATTATTTTGTATTTATCTGTCACTGATATACGGTACTGAATATATGTATAATGTATATACATGTAGGTAGGTATGCAAAGTTTTATAGCAACGGATACTTAACACCTATACTCCACTCAAGTTAAGAACATGGCCATTTCGCCATCTAAAATCGGGTTTCCCCATGCTAACTGGTCATGATCTTAACGTGCTTGGTAACTAATAATCATATTTTTTTTGGTCTTCTTAACAAATTACTATGTATAAATAACGGGTTCAAAATGTCTTTTATCATGTATTATTGAATAGTAATATATAGAGTAATGCAGGTGTAGCATACAAATCTACAATTACATTATATAGAATAAAATGGAAAAAAGAAAATAATATGTTCATATATATTATTATAATTTAACAGGACCATATGTATTTTGAACTTGGGTAAAAAAAATGTCAATTTGAATAAACGTCTAGCACACAGACACTAAAACTGGACACTATTTTCAAGGTCCATAAAACACTCTCATCCTCATAAATTCAGTCTGAATCCAAGCTTACAGTCAAAGGGTACGAAAAAAGTCCTCTAGAATATTTGCAATATACTACACAAGAACTTACATAAATCTAACAGAATAATATTACGTACGCCGGTTTATTCATCCGTAATTTAGATACAGACAAATAGACAACTATTTATCTCTATAAGTTTCATTTATTATTTTACTATTATTTAACATGTTTACTGTTTAGTTGAAAAAGAAACGCATCGTTTTCAACAAGATTTGTAAGTCTTTTTTTATTGCCGTTATTGTTTTATTGTATTATTCTAAATGTAACAATATAATATTGCGAAACCAGCCGATACAAACAATAATGGAAAACTGAACAAATACAAATGAGAAAATTAATTTTAATAAATTATAACAGATTCATCTTTAATATTTTATATCGTACGTTGAATGTAACTGTTACGAATTTCGTAAAGAGAACATTATTATTCCATTAAAATCCATTACTATTGTGACTTTCATTCTGTAAAATATTTATGCCATTGTACTAAATTTTAATAACAACGTTTATTTATCCATCAAATATTTTAAATTATATTATTTAGTCATGAAGTTACTATAGTGTTTCTGTGATTTTTACTTTTTTCTAATAAAAATTAATATATTCTATCAATACAACCATTTGAGTAACTGAGAATCGTATTTTACATTTTAGATTTTAGAAGCCAACCTTAATCATAATACTTTTCCACTAATCTACTGTCTCATATCTATTTAGGAGGGGTTGACTCGTTTGAGAGCATATTTCATTATATCGACAAAAATAATTTCAAAACATTTTTTGTAAATAGTGTAAGTTGTTTGGATAAACCACTGCTAACGTTTAAGTAGTTATAAAATATTTGGACAGTTGTATTAATGTTCAAAGAACTGCAGAGAACAATGTAAAAAAAACATTTTACCGTACTACGTGATGTATGTGTCATTGTGTCAATGTAGGTATTCCAATTTCCAATAATTAAAAAGGATATGTAGTAACTATACGCATAAGCAGATATCCTGTAAAATATTGTGGTAGATGGGTAGCCAGCAGAGCTTAAGTATTAGAAAGCAAAAATATCTATGAGGGCCTTGACCCTATACCCCCATCTGTTTTAACATTTCAATATTTTACTTGTTTTTATGTCAGTAAAGTTACTAAAATAATTTATAGAACTACAACATAACATTTTTTGAACTACCATATTATATCTTAAATTATTGTGGTGTACCTTATTTGTGTGAATATCTTATATTTTGTAGTTATTTTTTAATACATCAAAGCACTTACCTGGAGCATGTCGGCAGAGATCTGGTCCCATAACCGGACCATGCAGTTAAGGGCAGGTGGCAAAAAGTTTACGGTGGTCTGGCAGTCACCACCACCCCCCGATGGTTCCGGTTGCGCATGATGGCTGTCTGTTAGTTCCGAGTTACCGGAACTGGTCATGCTCTCCTCGGTGATAGCTCCCTCGGCTGGTAGAGCCATTCCAGGTTTCGGACGGTTCACTTCGTTGGGTCGGATGTGCCGGTAACCGCCGGCACCGGTCGTCACTTCCACCGAATGCCTTTGCGGACCCCGATCCTTATTCCTGCAGGGAACACGTCAGATCAAATTTCATATAATCACATCATTATAATATGCCATGAAGTAGAATCTAGGTGTAGCTCTATAGTATAATGTGTATATGTGGGTCAGATTTTCAGTTGAAAAATTGGAGGAGATCAGCACACAATTTCAACATAATCCCCGCCTGTTACTTTTTTTAGCCAAATTTAGATCAATAACAAAATATTATTATGTAGTTTTAACTGCCTATGTAGTTCTCATACCTAAAAGCATTTAATGTTGTTCAAGGATAATCAAAAAAAAAATATGTAGAGAGGATAACATATAATACAATAGATACCTAAAACGATAATTAAGTGTATAAAATTAATAGTTATGTAAAATAGCATTTTTTCTATAAATATAATAATTTATATATTTTACCTTTAGGTTACACTCGTATATTATACATATTATATCGGAGACATTCTAGTAATATAAAATACTAATACTATGCAGCTGCATATTTATAATATTTTTATCAATATATGCTGAGTGTGCTGTTAACACATACCTTTCAGTCATTCGTTTCGTCACCACCGCTCCATTTTTGGGAAGACTGGGATAGAACTTCAAAAATGACGCACAAGTCATGGCGTCGTGGACAATGCCTTCATGCCACAGGAACGCAGCGAACACGGCACGCAGGCTCTCTGCCATCGACGGACTTAACGCCATTTTCACTGTTTGTCTAATTCGTACAATTAAATATACCATTAATGTATTAGTATGAATGTTTAAGATGTTTTCATTGCAATCTTGTTCAGTTAATATATATATGGTTTTAGATTTTTCATTTACCAGTTGGCATAGCACAGCAATTTAAATAAACAAATATACTTTATCGGTTTATTACGGAATTTCTGAGGAAGTTATCACCAACAGAAAAAAAATAATAAAATGAAAATAAATTTTGATTTCTTAAATGTTGTCCAAGTAGGCTATCCACCGTTATGATATAGAAATAATAAAACATTTAAAAACAATACCTGGAGGAATATAAATATTATTATATTTATATTTATATATTATCCAAATGATTTATTGTTTTTGTAAATTAACTCTATACTGATATAGCAATCAGATAATTATATGAAATTAGTTAATAAATTATGATTAATTTTAACAGTTTGAATATCTATATATTATATTTTACTTAAAGTATATATTAATTTATCCAAACATATTTTAGAAACATAATTATCAGTCGAAAATTGTCATTGTAATTATTTAGTTTTTATAGATGTATCATGTAATTTAATAGTGGTTTAAGTTGAATAGCTATTTGTTGAAAAGTTAAGCCAGCGACTTATTTAGTAAAAAATTGATAGTATCAATTATTATATTTAAATTAACTTACTTTGGTTCTTGTATCTTTAGTTCTGTTTGATCTTTGGATTCTGGTGAAGAAACTGAATCAGTTTTTAATGCATTCTTTGAGTTTGAGCGATTTTTTAGAATCAATTTGGGTTTTATTTTACTATTAGGTACAAAACTGACTCTCTCATTTTCCGGCGTAGTTTGTGTGGCTGCTTGTGCAACACCAGGGCAAATTTCTACTTTCTGTTTACAAAAATTACAAAACAAAATAATTGAGATAACTTGTATTACTACAAAGGTTTCTTTAGAACTTTGCATCTGTTTCCTGATTTAATTATGACCGAAAACAAACTTGTTTTACTATTAAAAAGCCACTAATGCGGGTAGACCATACGAAAGGAGATTATGCTAAAGTTTAGATTCATTATATCAAAGTGAGTGACTAACACAACAAACAATAATCATTATTAAAGTATGAATGTTTTGTTAGAATTTTATTTTTTATTATTTTATTTAAAATATTATATCAGTTATGTAATAATAATTTAAATACTTAAAAAAAAATTAAACATTAGTGTAGGTACTTCTGTAAAAGTAATTATAAATTTAAAAAAATGTATCATTTTTGATTCTGAGACACAATACTAATTGTTCACTGTCCATTATAATAATCGTATAGGTCAGAATAATATAGCATTACTGCGCTATTTTAAACACTTCGTTTTAACGAAAATCTCTGAAAACTTTTTTAATGAATGTTTTGATTTGATTTCTCTCAATTAACGACTGGTGACACAAGTTGTGATTTACAGCAAAGAAGAATTACTGTATTTTTTAGTCATCTGCTTGGCATCGGAGGGATGGGATGGGGTCAAGGGTAGTCAATTTTAGATATCAATAACGCGGTATGAATGTGGACGTGTGGTAACGTACAGTTAAACATTCCGGTTGATCTGCCGAGCTCTCGACGGACGTGGAAAGGCTAGAGGTCATATGGGTATCAACCGAAGATGAACTAGTGGTCGGCGGTGCTGTGGTATCGCTCGACGCCGATAACGAATGATTGTACGTCGTTCTTCTAGAACCTGGAACATATATAGTAAAGTATAGTTTATAGGTATAGTAATATAATGTACTATTCGACTGCGATACATCTTATAAATTAAAATTGAAACTGAAATTGGAAATTCAATCTTAATCTTTTCAACTCAGATTATTCGTTTGCCGTAAACTTAAAAATAAAAATCTAATTAAAAATATGTAAATAATGAAATCTTTAAACTTATTAACTTCACTGACTTAACTTGACTAATTAATTATCCTGATTTAACCTATTTATCTCAAATTAATCGTTAACTTATTATTTTTTAAATTAAATTATGAAAATGTATTTTCAGTATTTGGGTTGCAACTTGTAAGTTTTCTTTTCCGCTATCCGTCTCATCGTTTTTTTGGCTTGATCCATTTTTGTGTTTATCAACATAATCAGTAGCGTATATTTAAGGCGTGAGTGTGAGACGGATGTGGATAATTGACACCCTTGACATCCTCTTGATATATTTATTATAATTGTTTGCGTTCAAATAGAATATTTATATATATATATATGGGTATTTTTGTATAATGCATAAAAACTCAGGTACGTTGTTAGTTGATAATAGCTTGTCGACGAATGTCGTATAAAAAAAAATAATGATCAAGTGCCCAATGTTGATTCTGAGAAAATAAACATGGGATATTCTGATTGTATACACTATATTATATTATACACAATTATAAGTACTACAATCAAGTACAATTCATTATATGAGATATAATAGTCTGACTAGTCAAACGATCATGCATGAGTAAAAAATTAGAATAGATTTTCATTATTGGTGAGGCACCGGAATTCCAAAACTATGTCAAATGTAAGTAATTAATGAATAAAAATAATATATAAAAATATGAAATTGGACTTTTTATTAAAAATTTAAATTACGAAGTACTTAATAATGTTTAAATACCACTTCTATTTGTAAAATGTAATATATTTTATTTAAAAAAAATAAAGTTTAACTTCATAAGAACTGTGTTATATAATAAATCACTGTAATTTATCCTATATTTATGATGATGTTAACAATTTATCGCAGTTTGAATGCAGCTATCCAAGCTACCATCCAGGTGATAATACTACCTTCGAAAGCCGAGATGGTACACAAATAAGCTGTTGGGCGGAATTATTATCAAACCATCTATAATAGTAATTGTTTTATAGTAAATATTACTCAATCTACTCACTCGTCACATCTACTTTGTTTTTGTACGGTTGTTGTTTAGCCTTTTCCACGGTGTACTTGTTGACGGCCGTCTTGCGTGGACTACTCGGTGGTATCATTACCATGTTCCCGTTGCTCAACCTACTGTCCTGGCCGACGGGTCGATGATATGGTATCGGCAAAGGATTGGCGTTTAATCTGAAAAAATCGAAAAATTATAGTCAATTAGTGTAATCAGAACGTTCTCCGTCGACCATATCGAGCCAATTACCCTTCTATTGCTTTGGCGTCCTTTTTCCGTTTGGGTGAGTACTGTTTTTCCAATTTTTCAATTTTGATTTCATTATCGTCTGAAAATCAAAGATAACGCATTTTATTACTATTGTCGACAGAAATTGATTATTATCAGGACTCGGGATTATCCGGTACTTGAATTGGAAATATATGGAGCACCATATAGTATAAGAAAGTACCTCGACGAAAAACATTTTAGCTCATCATCTGGAATATCTTTTTATAGCTAAATCTAGAGTCTTCGAAAACATTTTATGATTATTGTCGGAGTTTCAGTGATAAAAATAAAATAGGAATTTATGTTAAGAAACATAATAGTTAAGATATATTATAGATGACCGCAGAATAATTAGATTAAATAGCGAGTTATAGGTTATCATAAAAACTCGATGGGACATAATTTCGGTTGTTGTCGCGGTGTCTCACCCATCATGTCCAACTGTTCGATCACGTACGAACTCGTGTTGAAACGTGGTGGCTGTGTGTTGGCGTTGTTGCTCCTGTTGGTCACTTTAGGTTCTCTAACCTCGTTGTCTATTCGCTGCACGAAACACTGCAGGTCTTGTCGCTCCATTTCTGTAAACAGTTTCGAATGTAAATTTTGATCGATTTTACGATGAGAACACAAGTAATAATATGATATGTTTCGGGCACATCGAGTGGCGCCTCCAATATACTATCCAAGGTAAAATGATCGACTAATTGAAGTGACTGTGCTCATTCGATACATTGCCACACACCTTTGCTATTATTACACTGCTATACACGGATATTACAACTGTTGTACGGAGTAATCAGACGTGTGTGAGTACTATCGACTGGTTTAACTGAGTTAATGACAATTGACAATTAATGGTGATTTTTTTTTAAATCCCCGCAATTAGTAGTCACCTAATATAATGCTTATATATGTTTGTAAAATATTATATTATTTTCCCTATTATGGCTGAGTATATTCGATTGAGTGTGTACCTACTCGTCCTACTCCACATTTATCGGTTCACGCTACAGGAAATAACTCATTAATGAAGGTGACTATTATTAAAATCGTTACATAATCATTTTTAAGAATATTATAGTTTTTCAAAAATCATCACTGTGGATGGATGGGCGGTAATATCCTAAAACGATAGACCCTAATGGAAAACAATTACAACGACATTATTTATACCAATTCAAACGGTTTTTATATCCACCATATCCGTGCGTGTGTATTGCCTATATATATGAACTAGGCACATTGTTTGGAGGTCGTTTTCGTCCATACGGTGGGGGTGGCATGTAATCGTATGTCGTATGTGTAATATTTGTCTATTAATAATTTTTTTAAAAGCCGCGACGGGATAGGAATGCGTTTCGTACGCGGGCCCGGCAAATTTCGTGTGGACGATATTTAATTAAATTAATATTATATAATATCGCGAGAAAAATCATAAACGGGTCCATCGGCATGTGGTTTGCCTTCTCTACAATAATCGTAGTATAGTGCTTATGGCGACAATTCGCTGGGCAGAAAATGGTAAATAAAATATTATTGTTGCACAGGAAACTTCGCCTTACCCGCACTGACAATATTTAAGTTTTCCAAAGCCTTGTGTTTGATTTTATAATGAAAACTCAACATATTATACCACAATGGTAATTGGTAATATACTAATATATAAGCATGGCGCGTCAGCGGTAGGTACCTACTAGGTTTTCTTATAATATTTACCCGAGGGTGCGAACGGCCACAATATTATGTTGTTACCCATTATGTTATATTATTATTATTTGTATGCGTTTTCTTAAAATGACCTTCCCGCAAGGTCGGAGTCGTTGGTACCACCTCTGTCGTTTGAAAAAACAAAACAAAACTATAGAGATAATATTATAATAAGATAACTAATCGGTAGATATTTTGTTCAGCGCTAACCTAGATGGCAACAATACGGAGAACGCTAGTGGATTAGTGGCTGACAATATAATTTTCCATAATAAACGGAATGTGTGTGTGTGTGTGATAATAATATTATGTATATGTGTGGCAACGAAAATTTCGTTTCGCGAAGGTATATTTAACGAGAACGAAACGATGGAAAGAAATAATAACAACACGAATGTGTACACGTGCGTGCGTGCATAATATTATTATAGCTGGTATGCAAACGCCGAAATTTAACAGTAGCCGCAGAGGCTGTATTAAAAGTAGGTACACGGAAACAACAATATATACATACATGCATACATTATATTATGAACTTATTTTGAGATACTGAAAGTCAATATTTAAAATAAGTGATTATTATTAAATCATAAGTTATATGTGTATGTTATACATAATATGGTACTATTTCTAAGTAAACGTTAAACCACAACATAAACGTGGTATAACCGTGATGCGTGTTTATGTGAAATATACCATGTATATATGTATACTAGCTAGGGACCTCTAGTTCCTAATTCAGATATATTTCAAATTCAGATCTTTAATTATAACACAAAATAATGGACTAATAACTTATAATTAATAAAGGCATATGGAACATTGGCTCTGTAGTTAGATGAAATTCGTTTTTTGGTCGAAGTGTGTTTCTTATGGCGTGGTCTACAACTCCAACGCTAATTTTGAATAAATATCTCCACAATCAAGATACTCGGGCATCACCCTTAAATAAAGTATTATTAAAGTTGACGTTTTGCTATAAAAAAATATTATTTATAAGTTGTCGCATTATCATATCTGCGGATTATAATATAATAACAAAGATATTATACCGTAAATAAGTTATTACGTTTTGTTGAGTTATGTCAAACGGAAAATTACATTTCGAGAACATTTTTTTTTTCATCATAATAATATATTATATATAAACACTAGTTATTTACTTTAAACACACGGCCACAGCGTCGCCACAAAAAGAGAATGAGAAACGCGTGCGAGGTAGGTAGCCGCGAAGGTAGAGCGCGGTAGGGGGGTGTACACAAACCGGGAAGCCTTAAGCCCGAGGGAGCCTGCTGTACTAACTCCGACCAAAGCTCTTTAACTGTGTCCTTTGAAATTTTGTTTACAAGTCGTCAACGTGTGCTATTGACGTTTTTCTCGTGTATAAAGTTGCCGGCCGCGAGACGGATATAAGAGACCGACTAAGATTACGCTGCAGGTACAGTGTATTATAATATATAGTCAAGTTAATCTATTATATAAAATAAACACGAGACCGGCGGGGAAAATGAACCGGAGATCCACCTGCGGCAGCAGTTGTATTACGTCATCGTATACCTATATGCATACAGTTGCTATATATACGATATACACTGGCTCGGTTCAAAGGACTTTCGATTTCGCGTTTCGTCAAGACCGGTGCAGGAGTAGATAAATGAACGCGGTCTCCGAGTATTCCGTTTGGGAGATTTTTCAAATTGATCTCAAGCCTCGGTGATAGCTGATATATGCATATCGGTAGGTAGGTAAACGAATTGTGTAACAATACAAATATTTTGATAATTTTACTCCCCTCCCTGTTTCGGATTAATAGAAAAAGGTTAAATTTGATATTATTAAAATACATGTTATTATATTTTATCGAAAACAGAGAGTAGGCCAATCTAGCACTGTGCATTCACCATGACACCATAATATCTAGTTCGTTAATACGAGTACATACAACACATATAGATATCTTATATTAGAACTTTAAAACTCGAAAACTTCTACAATTACGAAGAAAAAGTCCTCTTGAAATTGTCCGCATACTATTTTAACAATCCCTCATTATGCTACAAAAACTCGATAGATAACTCAACATTTTTATTTTATTTGTCTCTTCTCTCTAAATACATTTGTTCACCTAATATTGGCTGAAATATGATGACAATATTATGAAGCATTTAATTACTTCATTTATACAATTCGCATTCATGACTAACATTCGTTAATTATTTTTACTATTAATTAAAACAAAATATATACTTTCATATAGTTATATTACAAGTAGGTAGGCACTACACGCAAGTATTTATTACATTTCATAATCATTTAATTCGACATCCAAACAACATTATGACCAATGTAAATTGTAAATACGTGAAGCTCTCTTCAAATTTATTTCAAACTTAATCAACTGTATCATTAATATTGACGACATCCAGTTGAATATTTTTTGTATATTATTTATAAATTAATATTTACAGATCACATTTTTCTTTTAAATAAGAGACAAAGTACAAGTCATTAGAAATAAATAATAAATGATGTGGTTGATTTCGTATTAAAATAACAAATATTAAAAAAAAAATTACATCTCTAATAAAATATGTTATGTAAGGTAAATAATAATAAAACCACTTTAAAATTGTAATTGCTGTTTGAGCTAGTTTTTATAAAAGTAATCCACGTCCTATGAATGTATCTTTAATATTTAAAACTTAATAAAAATGGCTAATAAGAATACCATCTCCAGACATTTTTTTTTTTTTTTAATGATAAAATAGTAGTATAAATACTTATAGTTTTAGTAAATAAAAAATATCAAATAAGTTTAAAGTTGGTTATAACTATAGAATTTGGTTATTAAGTAAAATATTATTAAAAAGGTTTAATATAGTTTTTGGTTTGAATAACTTATAAGTACCATTTTTATTTTTCTAAAATATTAAATAAAATAATATTGAAAGTATAGAGTTAAGGGGATTGAATGTCCACCTTTTGGCATTTTACAGTTATTAAAAGAGGTAAGAGCTCTTGGTTCATTTAGCATCTCTGATAAGTGTATCGGGAAAGGTAATTGATTTTAAGCTAAATTAAAAAAGAAAATGTATAAGTATGTCATAATAAATATTGTTATAAACTTATAACTTATCAATTCAGACAAAAATTTTTAAAAAATCATGAAATTACTTTCGGGGAAATAAGTCAAATTATTCATATAAAAGTATAGTAGCAAAAGAAGAAACTTCTACTTCTTGCGTTTTGCATAGATTAGATTTCCCGTAGACATTTTACCTTTGAAAGTTCCAATTAACCGTTTCCGAGGAAATTTGGAGTGTACATAATATTAAGTTGCACGGAATACCGACGACAGTCTACAAAAAATAAATTTGTTAAGGATTTTCGAAAAAAAACATAATAGGGTTATTCGCCCTTCGGTTTACAATCATTAAAAGGAGTGTACATAGGTACGTACCAGCTATGAGCTAGCTAATCAATTGTATACAAAATAAAAATAAAAATATAATGTTCTTTCGATGTTCTATAGTTAATAAAAACAGGTTTAGTTATTGACTTTAAAGAGCGATGGGTGAAGAGGGGGGGCAATACAATATGCATACAAATCAGGAATTTCGTTCAAATCTGAGTTTTTATTATGACATGCTGCAGAGTTTGTTTCTGCTGTCGCTGCAGCAAACGATGAATGATGACTGGTCATGAAACGGTTTTCTTTTTTAAATGACGATCGAAAACAGCACATAATATACCTAATACAGAGGCCAATAAGTGCGCACTTACCTGCCGCAGTATTTGATCAATAATTTGGCGTCAGCAGCTACAATATATAATTTATAATATAAATAAATATATATATATATATTACGAGCCCGTGGTGACTTATTAACAAGATATATTGCGTAAAATGAGCATTTATAATGTACATATATATACTTACAGTGTTATAGTAATTGATAATTTTTGGCTCTCGTCCAGATATATTAAAGTCGCCTGGCACGCGGCCCGAGCGCGGCGCGAGTGTGAAACCCCTTTTTCAGCGCACGTATCTACCGCAGGATAGGTAAGGACCTTTGGCTGGCGCGCGGGAGATCCTTATGGGGGCGCACGTCGATTTATTAAATTCCGACTCTGGTGAAATTCGCTTCCATGTAGTATGTATGCATATAATACACGCACACGGAGATTTTAATTATCGTTTAACGGATGCGCGCGTCCGTCTGCCGGTGCAGCCGCCGCAAATTGAGTTACTGTACGGGTTTAATTTACCGACCGAAATTCAAAACAATCTGTGCGCTTGTAATACTATTATATATACGAGTGCAACAAACAAATTATCCATGTTCAAGTCGCGGAATTCATCACAACAACAACGTGCAACGTTTTCACGGCATCACTCGGGCGTTTTGAGTGGAGAGGGGGGGGGGGGCAGAGGAAAGGTTGGTTATAGGTACCGTTCTATGCACTAATGATATGGCAAACAATGGGAATGTTGTTGTGTGAGTGTGTGTGTGATATTTATTGTTTAAGTTTCCATCGAAAGAGGAGTATGTTTAGCCAAATAGGTGAACACTTTAATAATTATGTATTAAAATATGTGCACAATATGTATAATGTAGGTAGTACAACGGTTATAGACGTTCACCAATATGATGATATCCCGGGAACGCTAAATGTTGATGCTCTAAAAGGGGAAAATGTAAACTGGGCTCGAGATTACCTTTTTATTGTAAACTCAGCCCGGAAATTGCAGGTAATGAAAAAAGTTCATTGCAAACTCAAACCGGTAATTTTCACCGATAAAATATAATAAACATGACATAATTTAATCCGAAAACAATAAATAACGTATACAACGTATATGTGCTTTATTCGGTTTATTATACTTTTTGATTGTGTTATAACGAATTTTAATGAAAATAAAACGAAATAATTTTTGGAGGATAATAAGAATTGCTTCCTCATTGTGTCCTCTGGTTAATGCTAAATAGATTTTAAAACATTATATAATAATAATTATTAATTAGATATAAAAAAAAAGAGCCTGGGTATATTATTTTTACCCGGTATTTAAAAGGCCATCGTCATATAATAGTATTAAACCATAAGTACATCAAACTGCAGTTTATTGGTATATACTCATGTCCACCCTTCAAAGTAACCTACATTGGTTTTTTTTATACTTATGTAAGCGAGTGCGATGTGTATGCGCAGAGCGGTCGTTTGTTATTTTTTCAACATTCAAGTGATATTTTAAAATTTAAATAATTTCGTAATTCATATTTTCGAAAACTTTTATGGACACGAAATCAAGCAATTAATTAAAACCAACATAAATAACTACAAACCCACTATTATAGGTACAAGTAGAGCTATAATTATGATTGCTTTATAGTTTATACTTTATTGTAATAATATTGTTAATGTATAACATATCGATGGTTATAACTTATGAACTATAATATATTATAATATACACATATTTGCAAGTCTGCTTTATTTTAGTATTTCATATACAGGAAATTTAAAATTTTGAAACTTTTTTGATTTTAATATATTATATAACATAGGTAATTATATGTGGCTATGTTTTATTAAACCACATTATCACATATTATTATTTATTAATACTTTATATAAATTTATAAGCATAGATTATTTTATATGAGTTAATGAAATGTTGATATTTTTGAAAATTAATAATTGACAATAAGACGATCGCTTTATAGTTTGTACTCATACTATTTGTCTAATTTTTCTAATTTATATTTTTTAACGATAACAAATGTCTCAATATAATAGTATTGTCGATTTAACGTAACTTGTAAAGTTAATAATAAAATGTATACAAAAAACGAAATTTGTTTTCATATTCGATATTCAAGTATATACGTACCTATACATAATATGTCTGAATAATATTTTGATGAATCCTGACAGTCTAAATGCATAAATGGTATGCCGACTATTAGTAAAAGCATTGATCAATGGTAAAGTATTTCAGAGAGTTTAGCAGTAAAGCGATGACATAAACAATGCGCGTTATTCGAAAATTTGCATTTCAATTTATTTAATATATATAAGAAATTTGGTATGACGTTCGTTCTTACGAAAATTTATTTTCCTCCAGCCTTGAATAGACAAACATTAAATTCAGTCGTTTTATGTATGCAATCTTTACAAATGGTCACATTACAGAAATGTAAATGTGTGCGATTACTTTCATTTTTTTTTTAATGGAATACGTCTAAGTATATTTAATTCTAAACAGCCATAGTTTCGGGTTAGATTATACGTTTGATTTTTAAAGTGCAGTAATTACATCTATATAGAGTTTTTTACATTGAAAAATGAAATAGTTCAAAATGTTCTAAAACGTAATTTCATAATTTAGTATTTATACAAATACTGAAAATTATAATTTACCGAAACTAGCATAATATTATAAACAATATCACCAATTATAATAATTTAATAAGCTATTAAAAATTTAAACACTCATCAATACATATTGGCAAAACAATATTCAATAAAGATTAATAGTGTTTAATTATCAACTATTAAGTGTGTATACTGATAAAGTTCAATCTAAACGATAACGGTTTTGTATAGTTCTATTGCATTAACCAGTTTAATAAAATCTAATAGTATTAATATGCCAAATGCATAATTAATTATAATTTTATACGTTACCAAAAAGGCGCAGTGGTGTGTGAAAAGGTTGCTTCTTCCGCATCGAGTCATTTGGATATTTTATTATATATATGAATATTGAACTCTCACATATTGTAGGTATAATAAGATAGGTTAGGTTATCCTGATTAATTGTACCGCTTTTCCTACAGTAAAGCCTTTACCCTAGCCGTGGGTTTTAGAAGATAAGGGACACAGTATGGCTTATAATTAATGCATCCGTGTTAATATAATAATGACCAGTCAAACTTTCAGGGCTTCAAGACTTGATTTAATATATTCGAAATGATAAATGATTTTCGGTGAAATATTTATTTTTCATTTTGTTTAAATGTTTTTAAAATCAAAATGATTGCTGGGTATAATATATTGTGAAAAATCAGTGAAACAAAAGTTTAGTCTCGGTGTGGCCACACGCCACAGCCCACTCAACTATACAGTTGACCTGCATGGATTTGGTAGGACGATGGCTCTGGCAGGGGATTATTATCGGCACTAGCTGTCCGTGGGATTACTACAATCCACTTCCAATAGACGACCTTAAAATTCGACTAGTTTGAACGATAATGGTCAAAATGAAATTTTAAGGAAAACTTAAAAATACTGTCGTAAACATTCTGTTTATTTTTCAATGTTTATAAAGCTTAGGGATATATTATATCCCTATTTTAATTGTAAATGTATAACGCCTCATAGTGTTCTTTACCATATAGCCACTTATGTACTCCATTCGTCAAGAGAATGTGGTGAGCAAAAACCAAAATGCTCAATAACCACGCAAATCCCTACTCAACGGCGATAGTCGTAAGAGTGGAGTAACCACTTTCTCTCAGCAAACAGAGTACAGTATGAAGTTAACAGCGATTTAGTAGAGCGAGGAGTAAAGTTTAGAAGAAACAAGCAATAATAATTACTGTATACAATTAGCATTAAGAGGAATTCAGCCAAATATTTGTCTTCTCTCTCAGACCTAACTCACGAACAATAGATGTTATGATGTTTGAGTAATCTTAAATTAAAAACAGTTATTACAAAAATTGCAGAGATTAATATTTTTGAGGGTTTGCCATATCCCTTTTATTTTTCAACTTTTTTAACTTAATAATATATGATTTTTATACATTTTTTAATTTAAATGGATATTTGATGATGTATTATTTAGATAAATTTACATGTCTACCTTCAAAAATATTATTCTCTATAATTTTTGTAATGGGTAATTTACTCTTTAAATTACTCAATAACATAAAAATAATTATTTTGCGTGAATGAGTTTTGTCTATTTTGAGGGCTAGTCAACGAGGGAAAGCAAGCAGTGCGCTGACATCCTGAATTTAACATCAACTCACTTTGATCCTTTTCCGGTTTCAAGTAGATCACTTGCGACGTGTCAGCCGCTAGCGACCAGGCTGTTGCGCATGAAACTCCGCAATGAGCCGCTGCACACTGGTCGGAAAGTCTGATCCACACGCCCTCACCATTGGTCACCCTGTCCACGGCCTGGACGATGTTGCCCTGAACGAGCATACCGACCGGCGTGGCCTTGAATGTTGGTTGATTCCGGATGTTGTGTCCTGAGGCGCCGCACACAACAACTTTGTAGTCAACTAGCTGCCCTGCCGAATGGTCAGGAGACGGCTGTGGCGGCGGCGGTGGTGGTGGTGGTGGTGGCGGCGGGGGTGGAGGTGGAAGCAACGATGAAGACTTGGGTCTGCAATGTAGGAATAATAATTGCAAGCAAGTGTGACGTAAATAACAAACTATATTACATTATAAAGACAAACACAATAATTATACGCAGTGACAAAGGGTGAGTCATAAGGTCGAGGAAACGTTGACAAAAAAAAAACAGAAATTATGATAATATTATATTGGTACTTATACATGTATTTTTGTATTTTTATAATTTATTATCCCGCAAGTCGCAACTATAGTCTATTCTAAGAATACATTAACAAAAAAATGATTTTGACAATATTGAATTTATTATATTTTATTAGTTGTTATATTGCGAATACGTATACATTTAGGAAAAAAATATTTTATTTAAGTATAATAAAACCGATTTTTTTCCGTATTCGAAGTGGGTAGAAGAATGCATTTTCCTGGCATCCCCACCACTGAATTTTTAATTAAAACCAAGGGCTTCTATTTGTGTTGGTTTGTGTTTAAGTTTCATTGACTGTGCTGCAACCCCTAATAAACTACAATTGATTTGTAAAAGGGGCCCTAGCAAAAAAACTGTACCCCCACCACTAAAAATTTAGAAATTTATAATTCTTTTAAATTCTTTCAAACTTTTTATCATATATATTTGGTGCTAAATGTAAGTACTTGATATTAGTTGCAGGTCGGTTAACTGGCTCCTCCACAAGAGATCCCTTGTAGTCTATTAGAGATTACAGGACAAACGATAAAACTCGAGCATAAACCATAAATTCTTTAGTCTGAAACCAAAATTTGGAGTTGGGGTGCCGGGGAGATGCATTTCTTCCAGGTACCTGTAGTATCTACAAGGTTTTTGGGTTAATAAACTTCAACATTATCCCATAACTCGGTCTAAATTTTGAAATAATGATTTATTTTGACAACATCTAAATCTTACTTAAGCAGTTTGCTACCACGTCGATACCTCATATTATTATATTAACATAATAAATAAATATATTTTTATTAATGGCTATATGACGCCCGGGAAGGATTGATGGAAACAATAAGTCATGGAATATAATATGTAAATTATAGGTACCTACCATGGTATATTACATTAGTCAATACATAGCTAATATCAGTGGGAGAACGTTTTCCCGATTTTTTTTATTCTTATTAATGTTTATTGTAAAATTTCAAGACTATTTATTTATATAACTCGAGCACAAAATAATACACTTGCACGTTATTAAAACAAAATCACACTTTCATATTATCCCATTCATTCATATATTTGTATACCAGCATTAGCACACATAAACGGACACCCATGAAAAGTATACAAATATAATACGTAATGTGCGAGTACTATCATTTTGTGTAAAGTATGTTTCACGCGAATGTGATGTTTGCGCACCAATAATTTTTACTTAAAAGAAAAATGAATTTTGCGTACACGCTAATATATTTCTATGCACTAGAATTGGTATTTATGCAATAAGTTTGTATTTCGGAAATTCAGAGTCCACGTTTTAGTGTCCATTAAGGGCATTTGTATTTACTATTAGAAATTATATGGACTTTACGACCGTCATTAAATTCAGGTATATAATATTATTTATGCACACGGCCATCTGTTTGTCCAATAAACGGCAAAACTGACGGTATCACGTTTTCGCATTGATTTTCGTCCACAGAAATATTTTATTCGTAACAATATAAACATTGATAATATGCATAATAATATTTACGTTTATTTTTTTTTTTTTTTTAGCGCATGCAACCGAATCTGTTATAATTTTTACGCGGTTTTCGAAAACAAATACTGCCGCTACACGTATACGAGGGACGAGGGTTTTGCTGCATTCATATCAACGGCTAAAAATAACACGATATGCAAATACTTAAATATACATATTTGAAGTCATGGATTTATACATGAACAAAACTGCATACATTGAGCAAATAAATTTATGTGTAACTTAGGTATACAACTAAATAAGTTTTGTTCTTCAATTAAAGTAATGTCAATTAAAATCCGGAGCGAGTAATTAAATAAAAATATGCTTTGCATAGGTAATGATTAAATTACGTATCGTACTCATACTAGACACACTCGTATAATAGTAATGGAAACGTAAAGGACGTTGCCTTAAATATTTATTCGAGTTTGTGCACCAAGGAATTAAAACACTTATAAATCTGAATGTATAATTGAAAACGAATTATTGATTTTGGGTTCCCCGAATGTCTAAACAATTTCAAATCATGTCAAAGTTTGATTAAAAAACTTAAATGTTGTTTCGCATTTTATAAGAAAACTAAAAGAGATGAAAAAAATAATAATCATCTTTCCGTATATATTATAATATACACGCTTTGTACAACGAATGTACAATTAAAAATAAACGAAAGAAAGTGAAAATGTTCAATTCTAACCTAATATTTGTTTTCGAATTACATTTTCATGCATATATTGTACTAGAGAATTATTATTCCATTAGTTCTGAAAACTGGTGAAACAGTAAAAGGAAATTTTATTTATAGCACGTGTTATGAAAATAGTTAAAATTAAATAATCTGTTAAAGCATGAAATAACAATACTATCATTATTTAATATTTATTATTAATAATAATATATTTAAAAAAAAAAAACCAGTGCAAAATCACGAATCATTATGACGATGTTGTTTTTGATAATAATTATTATTAATATTAACATTGTATGCTTAGGCCCGTTTCACATGGACGCGTATCGTACGCGCGCTGATGAAACGCGCATACGACGCGTATCAAAACGCGACACTCTGTTGTATTCACATGTATGCGTACCATACGCGAAACGTGGATCAAACTGACCCCGGGGAAATTTTGTCATTTAAAGTTTAACTTCGGTATAGACAACACCTATAATAACACTTAATACAACTTAGTACAAGTTAATTAAAATAAAAAATGAATAATCAAAGAGAAAAGCGGCTTATACTTTTTACGGGGTATTATTATTTAAAAAAAAAACAAATGGCTAAAAAAAATTGTGCTAAAAGACTTTGGGTTCACCCTTTGATAGCCCAAAGGTCTTTAAAAGGTGCATTTGCCACGATGTTTTCTGATCTCCGAGAGCACGAAGATAAGTTTTTCAATTATTTCCGGATGTCAATCAAAAGTTTTGACGAACTATTATACAAACTAGAACACAATTTAAAACGTTCATATTGTATCAGAGTACCAATAACTCCAGCAGAACGATTGTGTGTAACATTGAGGTAAGCTTGTTTTAAATTTGAATTACCTATATTTTAGTTTTGATAAAATAATGTCAAGTTTTTTTTAATTAACATATTCTAACTTAACACAAATAATGACGTTAGGTCTTAGGTCTAGCCGGCTTAGGTACCTACATAATGCAATAAAATATTAAAATATTTATTATTATACATGGAAATATGTACATATTTGTAACTTAGTATAAAAATATAAAAGTTATGTGTTATATTAACAAAACAAATTGTATTTATTAATTAAATCAAAACGTCCTTTTTTTGATAAAGAATATTTAAAATAAAATAAAAACTAACATTTCCAATGAAAATAAAATTAAAATTAAAGTAAACCCAAAATGAACAATAAAAATAAACAAATAATCTTTAAATTGTTTAGACATTATATTATGTGAATTATAAAAAAATAATTAAGAATTTGATGGGTAAGTTAGGTTGCAGGAGGTATCGGGCATAGACGTAGAAGATTGTTGTATTTGCGAGTTTATTGGTAAAAAATGTGAATACTGCTGCTGATGTGAAAAATAAAAAGGGTCGTTGTGGTTTACAGAGTTTTGAAACATAGGAGGATAATTTGGAGTCTGGCCGGGACCATTTTTTATTTCCATTGTTAACGCTAGAATACGTGAACGAAAAATAAGTTTTTGATCCTTATTAAATTGACGAACAGTTGGCAATAGAGACTCAAAAAAAGATCTGTCCTCATCTTCTATCGAAGTCTCTCTAATCGCTGCGAGAAAATCTTCTTCAAAATTGTTTTTTTGATTTTTTTGTGTTGACGTACTTTTTCTCTTCCTCGCCCAAGGATCTCTATTGGAAGTAATATTAATGTCTTCCAATGGGTCATCTTCGCTGTTCGATTCATAATTGATTTCTTCGTTGTCTGAATTTCCCGAAATTTGATTAGGGCTAAAGTTAGATTCCGTCCTGAAAATTGTATTTGTATACTAATTCAATTTTGCATAATATACTAACAACTAAATCCATAAGGCTAAATTTTTAGCTATAAAAACTGTACATTTTACAAGCTAAAAAGTAAGTAATTACATTTTTAAGGAAAATTGGGAAAATGTACGCAAAATCAGTTTTTGACAAAATCGATTTTGGTTTTTGGTGTAACTCTAATTAAAACAAATGACCGTAGATATATGAAATATTGGCTGGATGTTTTTATTATAATTTTATATACTTTATAACATTTTCAAAATATTTTAACATGTTTGTGCTGTTAACAGACATTTTTAGTTTTCAATTTTTTTTTGTTTTTTTTTTTCTATAAATATCAATAAAATTGTATTTGCTGGGTCAAAAATCTTGAAAATTTATAAAATATTCAAATTTTATAACTAAGGATTGGAAATTCAAAACAATATGCTTCATAAGTATCTCATTTTATAGCCAAGAAGTTTAAAAAATATATAGGCATTTCTATCTATATCAATATATTTTATATATACAATGTAGTTTGTTTTCGGAATTCTATTTTCACTTACATATTGGGTTGAGTTAAAGATTCCAAAAATTGTAGTTGCTGGTCATACATGTAGGTTTTAACATTTTTTCTTCCAGATCCAGATTTTAATTTTTTTTTTAATGCAATGGATCTGATTTTAGCGTCTCTCGCACTTTTCCAGCGTTGTTGAACTTTTTCCACTGTTTGAAAAAAAGTATTTCATATATTATATAATTCCCCCATTAAAGTACAAATGAATGATGAATTTACTTCTAAAAATATTATTTAGATAATATTAATAATAATGCCACTGACCATATAAAATCATAAAAAATAATGTGACTAAAGCCTGTATTATTTATTAATTTTTAGTTATAATTTATAAGAAAAAAATACCATATTGTTTTCGCTACAGTATATTTGACATGCACTTCTCAATTTTTCGTTCAGTTTATAAGCAAAAAAGCTAAATATTATTATATTTTTTTTTATAATAATCATGAATTATGATATGAGTAATTTTTATTATATAACTATATTTTTATTCATTGACTTTGTATAAATTACCAACTCTAAATACGTATGGGTACTTTGTTTAATTTTTGTAATACCTATTTATTGATTAGGTATTTAGCAACAGGAAATACAATGACTGATCTTCATTACACATATCGTATGGGTATCTCAACAATAAGTGGTATCATTGAAGATGTATGTAAAAATATTTGGCAGCTCAAAACTGAATGCATGGCTGAACCTACGGAAGATAAATGGAAAGAAATTGCAAATGGTTATCACAAATTGGCAAATTTTCCAAATTGTATTGGTGCCCTTGACGGAAAGCATGTAAGAGTTATCAAACCAACAAAAAGTGGCTCGTTGTTTTATAACTATAAACATTATTTTTCAATTGTTTTGATGGCCATATGTGACGCGAATTATTGTTTCACTTTTGTGGATGTCGGAGCGCAAGGGAAATTCTGCGATTCAAGTGTGTTTAAAAACTGCGCATTTTACCAGAAGCTTGAAAATAACACTTTAAATATTCCTGACCCAATGCTTTTTCCTGGAAACTACGATGAAAGTTATCCATTCGTAATAGTTGCTTATGAAGCTTTTGGGTTATCAAAAAACATTTTACGGCCGTATGCTCGAAATAATTTAAACTATAAAAAAAAAATTTTTAACTATCGTTTATCGCGTGCAAGGAGAAATATTGAATGTAGTTTTGGAATATTATCTAATAAGTTTCGTATTTTTCATAAGCCAATGAATGTGAATGTTGAGTTGGCCGTATGTATAGTAAAAGCATGCTGTATCCTGCATAATTTTATACGCGTTAGAGATGGATTTAATTTTGAAAACACTCTTAGCATTGAAGGTTTAGAAAATATAAACGAGGTTAATATACGAAATAATAATGTGACTAGAAGTGGTAATACAATAAGAGACAAGTTTGCCAATTATTTTATAAGTGATGCTGGAAAATTAGAATGGCAAGATAAATGTATTTAATAAAATCTGATGAAGTATTAAAAAGAATTTGAATTATAGTATAACAGTTAAAAAGATAAACACATTGAGGTTCTAAGTATACGAGTACAATAATAAATAATTTTTTTTAATGAGACCTATACCTACATTTAAGTTTATTTTTAAATATATTTAATTACTTACCTATTTTTTTTTTAATAGCTTCCTGTTCATTTCTTTGATATTTTGTTTTATGAATTTACTTGGGTTAATGTATGATATAATTACGCGTGTATAGGTATTGTGTCATATTGTTTTTTACTCAATTAAATAATTTGTATAATAAATGTTTAAATACTTAAATATATTGTACTAAGTATGGAACAAATACTTAAATAATTTTTGTTTTACTTACCCGCTTTTTTTTGATCAGCTTTAGACATAGTGTCATATGTTGACACTATTTTTTTTGTCACCTCCTCCCAAGCTTTAATTTTCAAATCACGATCTTTGTATTCCTCGACTGCGTGGTTCCAAAGATTAGGGTGATTTTGTACCTCAATAATTATCAGTTCAGTGTCCATTGTATTCATAGTGAATATAATATCAATTTATTTTTACTGTATTAAAAGGTCTAAAAAGTCTTAAAAGTCTTAAAAGTCTAAAAAGAAAAAGAGAAGAACTGCACTGCTGGAGACTATAAACAAGTTATATGAAAACCATTTTTCAATATTTGATCAGCGCGCGTATGATACGCGTCTATTTGAAACCTGTCATTACATGTAATAACCGGTACGCTCGCGTTTGATACGCGCCGCGTACGGGGATGCGTTTCGCCCGCGTTTCCAAAAACGCGTCGCGTTTCATACGCGTGCATGTGAAACGGTCAATATAAATAACGTAATTCTGAACGCGACGTATGAAACGCGCGCGTACGATACGCGTCCATGTGAAACGGGCCTTAACGTGGTAGAATAATGTTTCGACGATGTAATAATCACTTATCATTATCTCTTTTTAGAATATCCATTGTGTTATTCATACAAAAGTTGATTGTTAATATATTAATAATATTGTGTCAAAAATAGTACTTCACTTTACTTGTTAGAACTTTATATGGTGAAGCAGCTATATTCTACAACAGAATGGCATACATAAGGATTTATTTTTGAAATTAAAAATAAAAATGTCTAGCTCCTGACATTTTCAGACGAGGGTATGGGGCCAATCACACTGCAACGGATCAAAACGGATGTGTGGCAGCGTTACAAATTATAAACATAAATCTATAATAATATTAATAATATGTAATAATATGGTTACTAAAAGTATAATGTCTTAAGCTTAACATATTATAGTCATTCTCATTTCTCGTATCCACGTATAAAAATGTCACCATATAACTATATAAGAGACACAACACACAATGTCATGTCAAATAGTAAATACAATATAGGTCTGGGCCAACAGCAACCAGAAAACTGAGGAACACCGAACGACCATCATAATACCAACCTATTATCAAAACCTACCTCAATTCAGCATTACCACTTATAGAGAAAAAAGGTCTCTATGACAAATTATCGATTATTACTAAGCAACACTGATATTTAGCACTCGGCCCCATATCCTAACCGTTGTCATATTATTTGATACAATATTACGGTAAAGGTGTTGTGCAATAAGTTATTCCTCAAACGTGGTCCAACTGTATTGTTCGAGTTCTCGGTAAATTCAAAAGTGCACAATCTGGTTTTACTAAATCTGTGGTTCCTAGTATACTAGGTACCTATATGAAATATTTAATAATTAAGATTTCGTAATAATAAGATATATCAGCTGATTACTTGAACTTATAATATTCCTAAAACTCTCCAGCTTCGGTTTAAATTATAATATTCAAACACATCTAAAAACTCTAGCTGAATTACAATAATAACAGGGTCTCCAAACAAGTTACAACACCGCTGATCGGTAAGTATACTTTCGCAAAAAATACAATATTAAGGTATGATAACTTACGTTTCCCTGTTTGGCGGCTTCGGCGTGTCCGGTATCGCGACTGGCGCACGTTTGTCGTCTCCCTTGGCTGCGGCGGGCGCTTTCGGCCCGCCGGTTTTCCCGTTCGCTGGCACCAAGAACAGTTCGCTGTTCAAATATTTGTTGGCCCTCATGCACCACGCTTCGATGTGCGGCGCGCTCCGATGGCAATACCGTTCCACCGATTCCGAGTTTAACAGTACCCAATCACCGTCGTCGTTGCTCATCTGTGAACATTATGTTTGCGATGACGGAGACGATGAAAAAACGGCAAAAAATAAAAATAAAAAAAATAAATCAACGCAATGCGCCCTAACTGGATGATCTCTTTTTCGAAACTTCGATTTTAACCTGACATTTACGGATTAAACATACACATTATTATTGTATCATATAAATACAAAAATCGATAGTGCTACACGCACATAGGTGCATGTATAAATAATATTAGAAGATTAATTTTTGCGCCGACTGAAATTACTCAAAATTATAGACTTATTTGAAAATCAAAACAAGTTGTTTTAATATACTCCCCGACAAAAGATTGCTATAATATTGCAATTCTGAAAGTATTTCCCAAAATAATTATGAAATTACGAGTATTTTAAATCAAATATAACTGAATTAGTCCAATAATTATTATCTTACTCGACCAACATTTTTATTAGACAATTATTTTTGTATATAATCAACTAAAGCTATTACATAAATTTAATGTATAGCCATAATATTATACAGTTGTTCAACTAAATCTAAGTATATAGGTATCATAGATATGTAGTATTAGTCGAGTAGGAAATTCGTTCGTTGCATCAGAGATACAACATTGTTAGGTACATCAAACCTTTTTTATTTTTTATTTATTTTTAAGTGTTCCTGACAAGGTCATCTAATTTATTGATAACATATTTTAACATAAAAAAAATACTATAGGTAGGTAAATAGTATAAGTACTTATTAAAACATCCCTAAAATGAATGGGTAACTTAAAAATAAAAATATTGAATCTGATAAGTGATAAGTACTATAATTATATGATATCCTTTAAAATTATATACAATTTATAAAAGCTATGTAGTCAATTGCAATCATTATTTTATCAATTTTTTTTCCAAATTAAAATCCATTCAATATAAAACTGTAATATTTTATTTCTAAAAAAAAGGTTTTAATTTACATAGTAATTATACATTTTTTCCCCTCATAAAATTGTTCAGATTATTATATAACTCAATTAACATATTAATTGATTACAGGTTGCTTGCATTTTTGTTTTTGATTATTTTAGATTATATCCAGATAGGCGTGATTTCAACACATTCCGACATTTTATATGAGTTAACTTATAATACTAAACATTTTTTACACTATAGCCATTAATTTCATCGTATAGGTAACTGTATTGATGTTAAACTCTGTTTAGCGGCTTGAAGTTTTAAATGCCACATAGGAAAGAACTGGAAATTGAAAATAAAACATGACTGTGGAACATCTTTGTTTAGTAAAAATAAAACAGACTCGATTTCGATGCCAAACACCATGACGCCGATAAATGTTTGTTAACTCATGAACACGTTTAATGTATAACAGGTTATAGTAAGAATTCGGGATTGTCTAAGGGGGGGGGGGGGTAAGGTCTTATTGTTTTTCTGTGTTGTCTTTATTGGAAAACCCACAATGTATATTGCACCTATGTATAAAGTGCAAATAATATTTATTTATTTTTTATTATTATTTTTATTTTTTTGCTACCTATTGAAAAAACCTAATACCGAAAAAATGGACCCGCGGCAGAGGTGTAGCTAAATTGCCTATTCAAAACGCCAGGTTACTTTCATTTGATTATTGAAATGCGTTTAGGAAATATCATGTTGATGAGATACGAGAAAAATTGACTAAATATGAGTTACAAATATCGAAACGAAATAGGGTGAAGTCACGTAGAAAGCATACACTGGATATAGTTAAATGGGTTGTAGGAGATATTTTGAATACCGTAAATTGAATGAAAAATCATATTATTAAACGTACCTGCAAGGCTGCAAACAACAACAAAATAGTAAGTTAAAATCAGAAATATCAATTCGTCCAGCTATTCTAAAAATTATAACTGTAATAATTTTCAAGAAGTTAATAATATAAATAATTACTATAAAGAATAAACATTGTTTAATAGTAGGTTACAACACCACATTATTATTATTAAAAAAAAATATATATTGTGTTCTGTAATCAAAAACGATTAAGTAACTCAACCTAGTCAAAACTATTTGTTTACGCTGTGTCACCACATTTCACCTTGTCTTAAAATTATAATATTATATTGTTATAGCTCATGAAATCGCGCTGCACACACATTATGGTCGTCTGTTTGGAGCACTCACCTCGTCGGTGTACCCGATGATTCCTTTGACGGGGATAAATCCAATTTGCTCAGACTGGAGAGATGGGTGGGTACGGATCCGAAGTCCAGCGCTGTATTTGCCCACGTGCTGCAGCAATTTTGCGGCCGGAGACGATAGCGCCAGTCCGTGGTCTGGGGGCTTGGCGCCATTGAAAGGCGCTTCCTTCACGTCGATGTGTTTCGTCTATAAACACGACGGTAATGTGGTTAAGGTTGTAAAAGCGCATCTAATAGTACTTTAGGTACACTCTAGGTCCTTCTTATTATTTATTTAGTTACGACGGAAATTGTTCATCGGAAGCGAACGTGCACGGGTACATCTATTTTATTATAATACGCCGAAATTGTATATTTTTTTTTTTGCTTCAATTCGAATCGGGTGGTTTGCGGTGGATGGGTGTGCTGGTATTATGTTATTTATAATAAACGTTCTGCGAAAAGCAATCATCGCGTTCGGAAAAAAAGTGATCCCGAAGCTGATGCTCGTTTTGGTCCGTTGAAAGATCGTTCGACATTTGTCTAAGCCCGGGTGAGCTCTCTTAGGTTTATCCGGTGATTTTTGTGATAAATACTCTGTTGTGGGAGGGGTGTGGGGTGGATACGCCGCCGAATCGACACTTTCGATTTATAACGACTATATATATTATCATAATATGTAAAGCGACTTGCAATTTCACACAACCCCTTGAAAATCACAATACGTTCCTCGTTTTAGCACACCGAAATAAGATAAACTACAACTACCTATGACTCTGTAGCCAGTTATTGTGTGAGAAAATTATATTATAATTTATAATTGAATAAATAACACTTTCTCGAATACACAGTTCCCAAGATAATCAACGTTAGATGTATAATGACATAAATTTATTATATTTTACAGGTAGGCTATAATAAATGTTGTTGAATGACATAATATAATATAGAATACTTGTTTCGTCAATGGATATCCGTCCACTTCCACCCTGATGTCGTAATATCCGGTGGCCATTGGCGTCCAGTACACAGCGTAAGTGCCGTTGCCTTGGGACTCCATCGGCAGCTTTTCCGAGTCACCTTTTGCCGACGGTGACGCCAGACGAAGTTCTTCAAATGAATAATTCTCGTAATGCTGAAATACATAATACAATTGAATATATTATAAGTGTTTTTTTTTAATTATAAGTGTTTTCGCTAGAATTATGATAGTAAATAAGGAACTTTATATTCATTATAATTTATGATCAGTAGACGTTTTGATTTTATTAATTAATCATATAATTTGTAGTTATACAATAACCACGACGTCGATGATACAATGATCGAGGTATTAAAATCAACATAATATTATAATAACGTGGTTTTATCTCGTCAGTGCACATAATACCGTACAACAATAGACCGATGTTATTGTGTATGTAATATATAAATTATTATATTGCACGTAGGTAGATATATACGACGGTTCGCAGAGACGGATTTAATAAATATATATTTTTGTTTGGCACTGTTGTAGTTGCACTCGTGGAGCGGAAAACCTTTAAGCCGTAATTATTCTGATTAAACGCGGACTTAATTAATTACCATCATAACCCGCTGCCGTCGGAAACGCCGAATACAAACAGCCACGCGAGTCCGACAAGAGCAAAGGCATTACAATAATAAGCTTTCGATAGGTTCCTTGAGATTAATTAATAATAATATGTACACAACTCCGTGCAGGTTTGTGAATTGTGTTTTCAATAAATCCACCGATGGTAAAGGGAAATATAAATAATAATATAAAATTATTGTTATATATTGTTATTTTATCATATACACTTACTTTCATGAACGTAATGGTTTGATATCTGAACTTATCCTTGATCACAGTTTCGTATGGAACATAAGTTTTTGGCACAGGGTGTCCACCAAAATACTTGTCATCCACCGTACCGGAACACCTGTCTATGTATGGGTTAGCTTTGGATTTGCAGTTCAATTGAGTGAAAAATTCCACCTGTTGTGTTTAAACAGTAATTCATTATATACTAATTCACGGGTACACTCTATAAACACAATTATCCAGTTTACTATATATATATCAGACATTTCCGATAGTGTGGCAGTAAATATGCAGCTTACGGATTAAAATATTCCAAGTATCAACTCCATGTATTAACTCGTATTAAAAAAAAAAAAAAATCACACGAAAAACCCCCAACACAATTGAACACAATTATATTATTATCCATTGACCAAAATACTCAATAGCACAACTACTCAACAATCCATCAATATTGGAAAAAGTCCTCAATAAATTCAATTTCCAATACTGAAAATATAATAATTCATTTTTTCCAACACATAAAATTAGATAAAATACTACAACTTAAACCTGTCACAGTTAGTACATTGTAAATTTAATTTTAAAAAAATAGCGAATTATTTCATATAACTATATTTTTTTACTTCGTATTATTAAAGTTATTCAATTTATATTTGTCATATTATTATAACATTGAATTTTCAGATAACCTCGTTACGAAAAGTCAATTAATTTCGAAATACATGAAAAAGGTAGGTACACAGAACTAATCAATTTTATTATCGTGGAATGCAAATAAATCGAGTTTTTATAAATATATTTTTAAACTGTTATATATTTTTAAATTATTAAACAGGAGTATTATAGGTAGGAGCCTACTGCGGTATTGCAAGCAAGCTCAAGTATTCTCTGTAAGTATATGAAAGTTAAGATTTTTCAACAACTTTATGAACATTAGTTCATTTTACTCAAATTTAATTAACTATCGTATTATACGTATGTTAAAAACTAATTAAAGTTTGAATATAACATTTTATTAATTTTAATTGAGAATAGAGTTTTTATCGTTTAATTTCAAAACAAATAATAAGTTTTACTAAAAATAAAAATATCCCAAGCGTAAAACAAATGTTAAACGTATTTAATTGCTATTACTATTATTATTAAATGGAAATTAAATTTACTAAAACCTTTTTCATAGAAACGTACTCAACGTTGCCCACAATATTTCATTATGTTTTCCTAATGACTTGTTTAACACTAATTGTATAATTTGAATGGAACGTTAACACAGCTTGTTATACTTATGTATATATATAACATTTGTAATAATAATAAATAATAAAAGAAACGGTTCTCAAAAGTAATAATAAACGAAATCACATTCAAAAGATGTATATATCTACATCTTGTTAACCCTTGCAAATAACAAAACTCGTATAAAGGCAGCATTATCATTATAGAAATCTACTATTTTACCTATTGCGGCGACTCGAAATTAATAGCTAATGAAAGAAACGATGTACCGTTACCCGGTGTCGTATTTTTTGCGGCGGTACAGACTGTAGGAAATAAAGGAATATGCACCCACCCCTTTAAAAAAGGGTAAACAATTTATTAATAAAAAGTGGCCACCTATATAATACATTTGTTACATTAATTTTGTTAAAATTCCCTCATTCACTATTAATAACGCATAATACCGTCTAAACGTATTTAGTCGCACTAGTAATAATATAACAGATTTCTAAGAATTTTCAATGCAGCAGAGTAAAAAGTATTTGTTGTTAGTATCACACTCTTTAAATTTTCCTCGTATTAAAATACAATGTATTTATAATTTAAATAATTACTTTTCACGAAAATAATTGTATTCAAGTATTGTTACAAAACTTTATTTCTATTCAAATAGGTTAGGAAACTCATTTCGTTGTTAAACATTGGATTTTATAAATGAATAATAAAACTATAGAAACACGCATTACTATAAGACCCCGTATTAATATCACTGAAATTTAAATATTTCAAGCCGTATCATTTTTAATAGTATTAAATAATTTCAATGATTGAATTGATCATAACGTTATTAATATAATATATCAGTTGAAATATTAAACTCTATTTTTTTTAAAACTCATCACTCGATGTATTAAAAGTATAAACGTAATACAATACATTCTGTTGGTTTATAAATGTTATTTTAATCGACGAGAAGAGTGAACAATTTACAATAACAACAAGCATAATATGTTTCTAGATCAGTTGAAGGGTTAGTAGAATATTATAAATTCCCCAAAAATAAATTTCAAATTTCAAATAATGCCAAGCATTTTATACTACATACCTTTAACCCGATCGATTGAACTGGGTTACCGTACTGGTCACGCGTCCGGACCGTGAATTTGGCCGGCCATCCGCACCGCACCTCGGCAGTGGACAGCGAAAGCTCGCACGAATCCGGTTCGATGACTGACTCTGGTTGGAGCCACCTGGCCAACCGACAACCGGCCGAATGCGGCGCACAGCCCACGAACTCTCTGAGGAATCGATTTTCGTTTCCGTCCACACTGTAAACACACAAAATAAAAACAACGAATTAAAAAAATGTATTGGTTTTCTGATAATTGTAATACACACAAAGAGACGATTGTATATTGTTTTAACTGTGTGCTTTACATTAGTATTACAATATATTCTAGTACAATAAATTGTTTTATAATATTTAACATTATATTTGATAATTATTTTTCAGGGTATAATAAGACATGTTGTAATGTGTACGCCGTACGCTTTTCTTATTCACGTATCACTCTTTTTAATTTTTGCTGTGTTGTGTGAAGTGTACAACAGACACAACGTCGATTACTGTTTCATATACATTATTCACAAACATTTTGAAATTAACAATAAATTCTATTATGACGGTGCTATAGCAGGTATAGGTCCATATATCGAATAGTGCTTTTAAAGAGTCTTTTATATACAATGACAAAAATGTTCTAGGTACGTACGAGTATATTATGTTATGTATGAATATTTTTTGTCAGCATAATCTATTGTACTACTTGTAGCTTGGGAGGACAAGCACGTCTCTCGAGGTTCGACGAGTCAGTAGAAAAATTTCAAAATGTTTATTATTTGACATTTGAACAACAGTATAAATTCATCGACGAGGTTATCGGTGTAAAAAATATTCTAACAATAGAGAGAAAAAACTAAAAAACAGGTACCTAATGCATCACAGTATCGTATACCTATTATTATTTACCTCGATATCTTAATATAGTAGAACAGGTGTATTTTATATTATTTATAATAAGTATTATATATTATTATCATCATCACTGACTGTTTTGTCATTCAAAATATTCGATGAAAGGAAGATATTGAGGGGACGCCGTCGTGGACAAAAAAATTACAGTTCATCATAATAAAAAATGATAGGTAAGAAATGATGTTACAACAAATAAAAAACATCTATAATAATACGGTCTTCTAGGTATCAATATTATATTGTTATTCACGAGGCACGTGCCCACAACGCGGAGAAATACGACTACGCGTTAAACTAGGTTTTTATATTTTTGTATTTTATCCGTCTCTCTTTCGCCCGCGCAGTATTTGAAAATAAATCAAATATCGTCTGACATTAAAACACCCAATTTGCGTTCGCATTTCGGCTTGTGTCCCTCTGACGGTTATCGGGTTTAAGCGTATATCGGCGGCGTTCTTAAAATTATTTGATCTCATAAAAATGATGTTTTCCATTCCAACTGTGCTGTAAGCAAAACGCGCGTAGGTCGAGCATTGCGTTTTTGAGAATGATACATTGTCTGAGTGGATCCGATTCGCAGAATCACGAGGCGATAAGACGTGGACACGAAAGCACGACCTTGGAATAGTCTTACATTTCGGAAAAAGAACTGTCCGACACAGCAACATTAATAAATAAGTATGTAATGCAACACAGGTGATTATAGCAGTTGATAATAATATTATATTTACTGCAGATAACCACACATTTAATTGTTAACCATCAAAACTGTACAAACTTTCATAAAACAATTCCGATGTGAAATAGCCGTCACGTGTAATCGCTCTGCAGTACAGTTTTAGCCATACTTACATAAGAGTTAAGTCTACCTCATCATTGAGTAGGTCACTGTAATAGATATGTGTTAAATATTTTTTATTCAATGTTAAATCATTGTATGTACGGTGAAAAACAATCAGCAGCGAAGACGGTCTAATTTTTTGATATTTCTTTTTTTTTTTGTAATCCCTTATTATTATGAAAAAGTATTCTTACAAAACAAATCAATACTAACTAGATCTAATTTTCTGTCAAAAACTACCCTCTAAGTTAAAAATTAAAACATTTATTATACTATAAAAAGTGTCGTTTAACACAAAAAAATATTTTTAAAAAATACTCATCGTTGTAAAATCAATACATTCATCGCTACGCTCGGAATCTGCAATGTATTATTTATTTTATAATAAACTCATTGTGTAGTAATATTGCACTTAAACAGACCGAGGAACGATCTCTCGTGAATCCGCTTACGCCGAGTATTATATAATAATATCATAATATAATAAGACTGACGAGTGACGAGTGGCCAGGCCACTGCCAGATGAAAGTTTGTAAAACGATATTGAAATACTAAACATAATTACTTTACCAACAATATAATATTGTCTCCACGTAGAAGGTATGATATGCCGTTTGTCACCCATTAATTTGTGTACTTTACAATGATATCATTTTCCTCGTTAATATTACTATACGTTACATCGTTATCGTTTCGGATGATAATAAAAATATTATTATTATTATTATTATTATTATTATTATTATTATTATTATTACAATTTCATATTTTTGCGAGTACAGCATAAATTGTATAGGTACCTGTCCTATCGTTTCTTTTTTTATTATTAAATGCGTACTTGCAAAAAAATATGTATTAACTGTCATGGTGATTATATTAAAATTTATAATATTTATTATTTTTTGATTATATTGTGGCTCAAACAATAATAATATATAACGATTAAATTACGCATAATATCATAATTAATATAATATGTCTGTTTATGTATAAGTATATAATACCTATATTCATATATCTGTATGGGTGTTACAGATTAGGTGATGACTGCAGTAATAATACGAAATACATTTTTGTGCATATACATACATACTAGCACATATATTATATTTTGTTATGACGATGCACATTTTGTAGTTATTATAACTTAAAAGTAATTACGTACTTATGTTTACTGAATAAGTCACTAAAATGTTATAAAATATAACAATTAAAAACTATACAGTTTAAAGCTACTCTCGTTTTAAACGCTGTTGTAATATTTATATACATAATATAAAATATACAGCGTATATAATTTATTTAAGTAATAAGTTTGAATAATATTGTGTACGAACGAATGGAAAATTATGATGTTTATTAAGATAAAGAGTAATAAAAGTTTGGTAATAAATTTATGCATGAAAAATAGTGAGTATTAAAAAATAATGAATAATTTTATTCCTTTTTTATCTTCGTTCGATTTGGTGAATTCATAAAAATTAGTCAACTAGAGATTCGTATTAGTGATTTGTATTTTTAATTGCTCGTAAAAATGTTTTTAAATGAAAACCCCACCATTAAAAATCAATATCATTCGAATAATATTTATTAGACATTTAAAACGAATGAAACGGTTGAATCAAAATAGTTATAAATAAGCCGCAGTGTAGATATATACTCATATTTAAATAAATGGGCGTCGACTGGAAAGTGCGTGATTTATAATGCCTATGGAATATAGATTAATACAATATACTATAATATGGTACTAATATGACTGTTTACACGATCTAAATAGATCTTCAAATTTTCCGAACACGATATTAGCAAAATGCACGTACGTGAGGTGCTCGGTGTATACATGTGTATTTATAATATCCAATAATGCTACAAATCGTTGTTTATTTTGAAATCCGTTGTGATTATATTTGGTAAGTCCGGAAAATATTACTTTTCTGTGAAAATGCTCGTATTCAACCTCGAAACTAAAATATTGTATGCCGTATTAACTATTATTATAAATGTACCTATACATTCCATCTGAAATATATCCCTGAAATAAACCAACAAAACCAATTTCGAAGGAGTAGCTCAAAAATACATTAAATCCGTGCTTACTCTAATATTTTATATTCTACCTATTATCAATCGACGGATATCCGCTGCTGCAGCAATGACAGTTGTCATTTTGACTCGTTACTTTTATTATTACCCATACAGTGTGAATGTGAATCTATTAGCATTATACATTGGATCAATGGAAGAAAAAAATCTATAAAACGGTAGCGGTTACAAAAATTGTAGTGTGATATTGGATCACAACCAGATTCCACTACCAAAAAAGTACACAAAATTACAAAAAAAAACAACAACATTTTAGCTATGCGATTTATGATAAAAAATAAATGAATAACTAGAAAACACTAAGACGATTTTGCGTGTCTATATGTATATAACAGGATACGAGAGTTCGCACCGAGTATATTATTATTATTATTATTATTATTATTATACATTTCACTTACTGCGGGCCCGCCGTATTACGAATTCGACTTAATAACACGCATGTGTGAATTATAGAGTTTAATAAGGATACAGACACTTTGAATAATTTAAAGTCGAGAGTCGTGGTTATATATTAGTATAAGCGTAGACTTACATTTCGTCTTCTTGTCTCACTATACATCGTGGGGAGATGTGGTTTGGAGTGGTATTCCCTTCAAACTACCCAATGGCTTAAAGACTCGTTAGCTGTTCAAAATTTAAATCATGAAATGCTTGTAAAAATATAATTTACTCATCGTATTAAAATACGCGTCATTATAAAACTTCTTACTATTCTGATAGTGAATGTCTGATGTATAAATACTTAATATATTATATAAATCGTATACTCATTAAGGTTAGATTCTTATAATAATATACATAACATTAATCAATAAACTAACCTCACTTCGGTATCAGAAACTAAAAATATAATCGTCATAATTAAAGATAACAAAATACAGAATAGTATAGACGTAAAGTATACCAAAAATATTGGACTATATTATATTTTATAAAAACGTATATTATGTTTGATACAATATATTATATTCGCGTTTGTTTTATTTTGTTATTGATCCAACGAAAAAATATATAAATATTTTACATAAATAACAACAAATACAGGACGACACGAATCGTAGTGAATAACCAAACGCATGTGACTGTAATAGACAATAGTCAACACTGAAACCGTAGACATAATAACAAAATATATTCTAACTTATAATTATACGTGTAAGACGAAAAAAGATCAACATCTAAGCGTGTGTGTCAACGATGTCTACAGTCCACACGTCAACATAAAACACGTCATTTACATAATAAATTACATGTTGACGATGTAATATATCAACGTAGTTCAACACGTTATACATAAGTATATTGTATAGTAACTATATTGCAGGGCTTGAAACCGCTTACCGGTTTTTACCGAAAACCGGTAATTTCCCGAAATTTTAGGAACCTAAATTCGATTACCATTTTCTTAAACTCATTTTTTTTCCCGGTTATTGGTTACCGGTTACCATGACGATTTTCCAGCTATAACATAAAACGTTATTAACATAATATGTTTTAACCGGTTAAGAACCGATTACCGATATTTATGTCTTATGACCTTTTTACTTATTAGTTAGTACCGACTATATTTACCCATGAATAGTATGAAGTATAAAATGTTTAATTTATTTTAGCTTCTTAAATAATGATAAGTTTGTAGCTACTATGCTACTATAAATTACAATAGTCTAATATTAATATTACATAATTACGTATTGGTATTATCATAGTATTACTATCTTCGTTGTTTTAATGTTTTTCTCCTATATAATCTAAATTCGTGTTATAATAATTCAAATAATTGGTATTCTATCTACCCATAACATAAATAATTATAAACGTAATATAGTTGGTTGGTACTCGATAGTCCCGGTTATCCTCATTGTATATTGTACTGGGAAATCTAAAAATAGCTTGATTCCTATTTCCTACAACTACACGAATAATAAATATTACAAGCAAACAACAATCCTCACTGAGTCACATGATAATTGATAACTATAGTGATAAGTTAAACATTTTATTTTTATATTTCATTATAATATTATAGGCATGGATCTTTGTTAACAGCCAACTGAGCGAACGGTATTTTACGAAAAAGTGCGTTTATGACCACGATTCTTATATTACATTTTTACAGTAAAGTGCGTGTGATCGTGATTATTATTTTTTTTATAAAGTAATTGACAATAATTGTACATATAATTGTATCAATCATTAAGAAGTAAGAACTATGAAGAATCCTGTAGGATCTATGTTTTTTAACTTTGATGCGGGAAGAAATGTATCAATTTGTAAAATAAATGGATGTCAAAAACCAGAACTTGTAGGTAAACACAGTTCAAACTTAGAAAAGCATATACATGCTCGTCATAAAGATGAATACCAATTGTTAATGACAGCAAAAAATAATGCTTGTAAATCAACAACTTCCATTACAGAAAATTCAACATCAGGTTCAGTTAAAGTAATTTATTTTACACAGTATAGATAATTGTTTAGTATTAGTGTAATACTGCATTATAATTTTTATAGTGTGCACCAAGTACATAATATTAATAATTAATAATATTATTAATATTACCTATATAGTTGTATACTTGTATTATTATAATATAATATTAATATGTGGTTTAAGGCATTTATATATTTTTAAATTTTAATAGTTAACAAGATAATATTATTATATAATATATATTTAACATATTTTTTATTTTGAATTTTCTTGTTTTCTAGTAATATAATAATTTATTATTTACCTTTTAAAACCAGTATTTACTATTTAATTTATTATTAATATATTTTTATATTTAATTGTTATGACCAGAGGACTGCAGGACAAATGTCGTTGGATAGTATGATTAAAGTTACAAAAAAAAGTATAAAGATTACTTTATCAAAAGATGATATAATTAATGCTTGTGTGGAAATGGTAACAGTAAATGGCCGACCATTTACTATCCTCCATGATTCAGGATTTAGAAAGTTGCTAAATCCTATCATAGAAGGATTGCCAGAAACAGGTAAATATTTACTTAATTCTTAATTAACAAATAAAAATTAGTAATTTAAAATTTAAATTGAATTCTTTATCTACTTTATCTATATCTGCCTAACCAATTATTTTTATCCTATAGGATTTTCAATTAACTCCCATAACATAAAAAGTCATATTATAGACAAAGCACAACTCATAGTAAAAACTATAGCAACTGATGTAGCTAATCGGTTAATCAGTTTGAAGGTAGATTGTGTAACAAGACATAATAGATCTTTAATAGGAATCAACATTCAATATATGCAAAATAATGTTTTACAGTTGAAAACCTTAGCAATCACTGAATTGATGGAGCGACACAGTGCTATATACTTAAAAGAAATGGTAATATGGTACTATAAAATATTAATATTAGAGTTTAAAATCATTAATTCTAATAAAATCATTTTAATTTTGATTTACTAATTAATGGTTTTGTACCTATTATTAATTTATTTGAAATAGTTTAAAAATATTTTTTATTTTTTTTATTGCTTACAGGTATTAAATGTTTTGGATAAGTATGGTATAACTAAGACACAAATATTTTCTATTACCAGTGATAATGCTGCCAACATATTGAAAATGACTGATATCATTGATGATCCTAGTGATTCGACAGAGAATGGTTTGTTTATATTTTAATATTTTATACCTAGGTGGCTAGGTATTATTTTATGCATTACTTGAATTGGGAAAAATTAGAAGAGAGATGCAAAAGTGTATATACTTCAAATTTTAAACTTAAGTAATATTTTAATTTTTGTTACATTATCAATGAAGATGACGATTTTGTTATGGCAACAAACGATGAAATTGAGGAATTTGAAAGTAATGTGATTCAAGCAATTGAACCTGAACCTCTTACAAAAAAAGTGAGATGTTCAGCTCATACACTGAATTTGTGTATAGAAGATGGATTGAAAATTAGATTATTACAAAATCTTATTGGTCGCATCAGAAGTGTAAGGACATCAATTTTATACAAATTATTTTTTTTAATTTATTCATAAATCATAAAGAATATTATTTATTTTTATAATAACCAGAATACAACCAAAAAGTATATTATAATAGAACTGTTATAATTTAGGTTGTAAAAAAAATTCGGACTCAAAAATATACATGTATTTTAAAAAAAATGGGCTTAAAGTATGCGATAATTGACGTTGAAACACGGTGGACATCAATGTATGACATGCTACAAAGGCTACATGAAATTAAACCTTTTTGTATAGAATATCAAGATGCAATGCCTGATCTTAAGTTATCAGTTAATGATTGGGAAGCACTTAAGGATATGGTAATTATTCTTTATATTAAAAATAAAAACTACCACAATATATTAATATTACAATTAAGTATATACCAGATATACGATAATACTATATGTTACTATACTAAAATATTTTTATTATTTTGTAATTGATAGATTGATTCACTTCAACCTGCTAGAGATGGAATAATTTTTCTTCAAAAACATGATATTACAATGGGAGATTTCTTTGGTTGCTGGTGGAAAATTATTTCAAAATTAAAAAAAAAAAATACAGCATTATCTAACTCTATAGCAAAGTCAATGGAAAAGCGACAAAAAGCTTTATTTGAAAATCCAATATTCAGCTCAGGTATAATAATTACTTATTAATTTATTAATTATTATTTCATGTAAACAAAAATAATACATATTGATAAATAATACCTAGGTATATTAATATATTATATACTATGTTTTGTGTTTATAGCTCTATTTATGGATCCAAGGTTTCAGTGTTTGCTAAATGATACAAGTAAAATAGAAGCAAAGGATCATTTACAAAAAACTTGGAAAATAATTGAACAGTTGACAGGAAATGAAAATGAAGCAAATATTAATAATGCTCAATATTTTGATGCACATGAAGAGAATGTTATGGATCCAGATGATGATCTTGAATCATTTATCCAGTCATCTTCTCAAAACAGTGCTAATAATATGTTGATGAATATGAACTCTAGTCAACGTTCTATTGCAATACTGTTGGAAGAATATGATAATACTCCGAGATTGCATCATAGTACTGATATAAAAAACTATTGGTCTGAACATCACGAGTCTATGCCTGAACTTTACAAACTTTCACAAGTTGTAATGGCTGTACCATGCACCCAGGTAAATATAAAATATAAATTAATAAATATATCTCCTATAATTATGTAAACATAATAATTTATAATTAAAATTAGTATTTATTTTTGTAAATTAATTTTGTTAAGTTTTTAATTTTTAAAAAGGTCTCAGTGGAAAGGAGTTTCTCAGGACTCAAATTTATTTTGAGTGATTTGCGTACTTCATTATCGCCTGATCTACTGGAAAGTATAATGATTATACGAGGAAATAACTTGTCTAACAAATAAAGAAAATATTAATTATTTAACTAAGTTGTTATTACTTTTTAATTTTTTTAATAAATTAACATTTTAAACATAATACTGATAATAGTAAATTTTATTAACCAAGTCATAACCTAGTATTCTTATCTATGAACCAAGTTGTCACAATTGTGGAGGTATGCCAATCACCACTCGCCATAAATATTCAGTATTACTGAGTGTAAGCCACACTATCTTGAACTTTGATTATGATAAAATGTTTTGTATTTTAATTTTTTCATGTTTATCAATTTGTTATCATTTATTTTATATTTTTAAGTTCTTACTTTTTTATGTATCTTAAAGAAAAAAGATATAAATTAAGATTTATAAGTATAGGTACTACTTATGTAATCATGTAATATTTTCTTTTTTTTTTTATACTTTTATCTTTTATGCCTCTTCTTACCCCTACTGTGGAACCACAACAACTGTTGCATAAATAGTTTCAAAGGTGGTTTGTTATGTTTAAAGAAAATCAATTATTAAAAAAAAAAAAAAAAATGAAAAACCGGTTTCAAAGTGGTAACCGGTAATTTTGATGATTTAAAACCGCTTCCAAACAGATAACCGGTAACCCAATTTATAGAAGTTATTTTGGTAACCTGGAATCGATTACCACTAATTCTAAAAACCCCGAAAACCGGTAACCGGTACCGAAAAATTTTCCGGGTCCTATCGGACCCGGTAACCAAAATTATCGGGAGCGGTTTCAAGCCCTGCTATATTGTAATGATTGATATTATATGTAACGTAATGTCATGAAGCATCATTACTTAATTTCGTGATTCAAAGTGTTGGATAAAATATACTTAATTCTACGGATGACGATTTAAAATCACAATCATAACCATAGTTGTTCTTTTTTTTTAATGCTAAATTCGATGGTTTTTTAAACATCAGAAGACTATGGTAAACATTGTAATGACGTAGCTGCTGCTTTTTACGTAACAGAAAAGGTATATTATGGCATTATTATTCACGAATGCAATTATAATATTGTTTTGTCTTGAAACATAATATGTAATTCGTTTTCAAAAAGTTTGTCACGATGGCATTTTATTATCGTATTTTTTTTTCTCGGTAGGAGTTCCGATTTTGACATAAAAATAAATAAACATATATTTTACTGTAAGCCTCACATAATTCCACAAATGTATTTATAGTTTGTATGTATTATGATTTAATTTAAAACTTTGGAATATTATAATTTATAATATAGATAACATATTGCATTAGGGTATAGTATTAAAGTAGAATTTACAACGGCTACATTATGACTACGGAACGCGCAATGGAAACCGTATAAAAAATTAATAGTGCAAATGGATATTATAAATACACATTTTTGTATCCTATAAAAATAATAATAATAATAATAATAATAATAATGATGTAATCTGGCAACAGTTTGGAATGAAGCGGCAAAAAAATATCTAATAAATTTTCGAGATTAGTTTAGGGAAAACAACGGACTGTTCACAAAGACCTTTAGACAATTGAATAGTGGTTTTTGTAATTGGATTTCCCGGCTGAACGTTTTACATTTGCACAAATCTTGAAGGGTGGCAGTGGTGGTGCTTGGGTGAACGTCAAGTCGTATAAAAACCACATTGTATACACACACACACTTTCGTACAATAATATATTATCTCTTTCTGCGCGTGCCATTCATCGGGTTTCGGATAATATGTTGGATCTCGGATGCACAGGGGTGGAGGTATAGGGGTCGGTTGTGATATGACTCCTTGACGAAACGACGATTATACCTACGCGCAAGTTCTCTGTGTGAGTGCGTGCGTGCTGGCAACAAATTAAATTCGATTAATGCTGTCGCGAGGAGAGTATAATAATATTATTGTTATAGAATTCGATTGGCAAAGATATTATTATACGTGTGTAATATAATACATACTGTAAAGTGTATAATGTATATCCTACGTTTTGCGATTCTGACACTAAAACTATAGTACAATGTAAGTTTATTAATAGCAGCTGCGATAATGTATATCGTGTAATATGTATAAACCACGGTTGTGGTCGAGTCTCATTCACACCAATCCCTCCGTCGCCGTGGTACATTATATTATACCTCTAATGTTAGTAACATTATTATTATTATTATTATTATTATTACCAAACGGGGTCGATCCATTATAGAACATTACGCCGCCCGCGTATAACTCCTATCAAGTCCGCCGCGCCCTAAGTTACGAATCGACGTCGTTATGCGGCCCCGTGCGTTACATCATTATTATTATTATTATGCATTTACGTGACGGCCACAGACAAACATATTATTATATTATAGTTGTGGCTCCTGCGGGCTCGAGGGTATAATAAGCCGTGCAGGTGACGAGTCGGGGGAGACAGTGATACATTGCATAATGTATAGTCAAAATGACTATCGTATAGATTACGGAAGGAGAAAAAATATTACAATGAACAATAAAGTTGTGTTCACACAACTTTGCGTAATTTAGTATATACATATAGAGCTAAAAAATATAATTAATTTTAAAGTTTATAAAGCAAACAAGAATTCTGGAACAACAAAGTCACTAGAGATTATTGAACACTCTATACCTACATTGTAGTATTTTTTTTTTAGGTATCAAGTACTATACCAACTCTTATTTTTTCACCACGTTTGAGCTGTAAGTGCAAAAATATTACATGGTTGGAATGTTTGAGAAGCATTTTATGTGCAGAGAAGATCCTCAAGCTGAAAACACATAAAAAATGTCTAACAAAAATTGTTTGATGATGACAAGGATAGAACTTAAAAACATCTGGTCATTAGTGAAGCAGATACAAAGTTGGCCGCGTCAATTGTAACAATAGCTAATCATAATATACCTGCAACATCGATTAAAGGACGAGCATCCTGCCATAATTAAGCTTTCTAAACCAACCAGCCGATAATATTATAGTTCAATTATAATTTTTTAACAACATATATGTAAATACTAAATCTCAATTATTACTATTTACTATGGATTTATCGAAAATGTAATCACTGGCAACATTCATGACCATAAAAATGTATTGGAATTTTTCAATTTTTAATCGCCACGGGTCATACTATAAATTATCATTGTCACAAATAATTGATTTGCTTGTTATTTGTTTCTTTCTCGGATGTGTATTGAAATATATTATGTTTATGCGAATGTGTAGGTATTATATGTTTCAATGGAATCATTTATGAATACATTTTCGATTTTTTTTTATCGTCTCCTTAAAAGCGTTTATATTTTCCTCCGGGTATCCAAGTCGTTTGCTCAATAACCACACAAAAAACGGTCGTGCTAAAGTTGTTCCGTTATGTAGTGGCCACACATATATGCACTTTATGCAGTTACGTAAAAGGCTGCATAAATTAAACAAGACCTTTCTATAATAATAGCCAATATAAAAGTAAAATATTATTAAATGCAGATAGGCACATTTTCGTAAATTTTTTAACCGGCAAAAAGCTAAAAACGCAGGGGTGGGTTTTATTAATCATCACCTGCCTATGTATATATTGTGTCACAGCCCGATGATAAAGACTCTTTGGTTTCTTCATGTACGCAAACGAATCTACACGTATATTTAAGTGCGTCCCATTTAATGGTCAGGACATGATAAAATTGTTTACGACTGGGAATAAACCGCCTATAAATTTGCAGTAAACCTTTCTAACTTGTCTCGCAGGAGGCCCCGCAGGGCGATTTGTTTGAAATTCTACTCGTGGCTTGATATAACGAACAAACATGAACTTATATAAATTAAGTGCAACAAAGTTGCAGCTGCAAATGCTGCAGGTCTCACGCTGGCACGCTGCAGTACATACATGTATAAATGATAATAATAATATAATTATATGTATCATCAATATAGTCTTCATTGTATAATAACTTACTTTCTTATTAATATTTCGTAATACGGCTGAATTGTTATTTCTATAAGTCAATATTAATAATCAACTATTATCACAATGCACCCATATCTACCGCTAAAATATATAAATATACAATTATAACTACGACATATATCATGTAAAATGATCAACTGCAGTTAGCGTACCCGACCTACAATATTAGCAATGCAGGTACAGATATTTAGTTTTACGCCGACGGGCAAATTATAGTCATGGAGAATATTCGTCAAACAAAATTAATTTATTATAATATACACGATTTTATATGCACAGTGCTATGGTACACACACACACACACACACACACACACACATTATGTCCAAAATATGCGCAATATCCGTGTTTTCGTTTTAAGCTGGAGCTATACTCGGAGTAATTCGTAAAACAAAATATAATAAACAACCTAGTTATGTACAATATTATTATAAATCAATACGAACCTTTTAATTTGAATGAGTACTCATTACGTGTTTGTAGATTAAATTAACGCAATATGAATTCAAATACGAGAAACGGCCATGCTTTTCGAATGAGCAGGAACAGAAACAACACGTCATCGTGTATACGGTATAAATTACAATTACGTTGTAGCAACAGTATTTCGATTAATACGTCATATAATATGCATTTATAGTTTCATCGAAACGTGTAGAACAGTGCACGATAAAAATCAGTTGATTGAGACCATTGTCTCTGGAAAACGGTTAACACGCGACCGAGCTAGGTGAAGGGTGAATACGGTTTAATTTAAACAATATATGCGAATGTTTGAAAAACGAAATCGTAGGATCTGCGTGTGCAAGATGTGTAAATAACCTCATAATATCATCATTTTCGAATGCATCGTTGAACAAACCTAGATCAATTATGTAGCTATTTCCACGAGTCGTTTTTCGTGGCGAAACGAAAACAAATTAAACGGTGTTTCGAAAATCGAATCATTCCGCAGGTATATCAATTTTGGACGGTCCGGAGCTGATCATTTAATCTGTACACATCATACGTGTATCCGCATGGTTTCCTAGTTTAGAGTACTTTGCAGCAGCACTCGTCCAAGAGTTAGCTGCAGAAAGTGTGACTGCGGGGCAAATTAAATGTAAACGGGAAAATTCAACGAATTATGAGCTGGAAAACATTTTGAACATTTCGAAAAGTGTTAAGTGAAACATTATACAGCTCTACAGAACGTATTATAACATTATCTTCTGTATTGTAACGTATATTTGTTCTGAATACAATATATATATATATATAT